AGCCCGACGCGGGGCTCGAACCCATGAACCGCAAGATCATGACCTAAGCGAAAGTCGGACGCTCAACTGACTAATCCACCCAGGTGCCCCTAATCAGTGAAGTTCTTTAAGCCCAAGAAATTTTACTGTGAGAGAGGGAAAAAAAAAACTCTCTAGAAAGTTGTGTCAGATGATACAGATTTCCATTTATAAAATAAATCAGTCCTGGGGATGTAATGTACAACATGGTAACCATAGTTAGTAATACTGTGTTGTATATTTGAAAGTTGCTAGAAAGTATATCTAAAGAGTTCTTATCATGAGAAAAAAAATTAATAACTAGTGGTGATGATATTAACTAGACTTATTGTTGTGATCATTTTGCAGTACATAAAAATACCAAACCATTTTGTATACCTGAAACTTTTATAATGATCTATGTCAATTATATCTCCAAAATAAATATGTAGACTGAGAACATAATTGAAATTCTATAGAAAATGTGGTTTTATTCTTCCTGAGGTGCTTCTCCTTTTAGGAATTCAATATAGTACATGAGGTTTGTATTATCATTCAAGCTATTTGATGACATTAGGATGGCCTCATTTGAATTTTCCTTTTAGGTGAATTTGAAGTAAATTTAAAAAGTTAATGGAAACATTTGGTCACATTAAGATTAATCAAAGTTGTTACTAAAATAAGCATGTTTAAGATTAGAAACCTTAGTATAGTTTTATGTGAATATGGTTTTTGGACTATAATTTAAAAATTAGAGGGGCGCCTGGGTGGCTCCGTCGGTTAGGCGTCCAACTTATGGCTCAGGTCATGATCTCACGGTTCATGGGTTCGAGCCCTCCATCGGGCTCTGTGCTGACAGCTAGCTCAGAGCCTGGAGCCTGTTTCAGATTCTAGGTCTCCCTCTCTCTTTGACCCTCCCCTGCTCACGTTGTCTCTCTCTCAGAAATAAATAAAACATTAAAAAAATTATTTAAAAAATTAGCAAGTTATCCACTTTGTGGTAATTCATTGAGCTGTACCCTTTAAGATTGTATACTTTCTTCCTAAGCATATTAAATACATCAGTATAACACCTTGCAGATGTAAGTGAACTCTTAAGGGCAACCATCAAGACATAAAAGTTTTAAATTTTGTCAGTTTCTTAGAGGAAGGGGTATAAATGTGTCATTCCTGCAAACAATTTAAAGTTGGTTGGCTCTTGGCGTACCTGGGTGGCTCAGTTAGTTGAGTGTCTGGCTTTGGCTCAGGTCATGATCTCTGGGTTCGTGAGTTTGAGCCCTGTGCTGCTGTCATTGCAGAGCCTACCTCGAATCCTCTGTCCTCCACCCCACCCCACCCCGCTTACACTTGCTTTCTCTCAAAAATAAATAAAACAGAAAAAGTTGGTTGGCTCTCTTTTACTTTGATAATTAATATTTGTTCTAGGAGGAATTCATGATAGTTGCAACATAAAATGAAACCACCCTTTTAAGATTTGACTTGGAAAGATAATAAAACTTTGAGTTCTGATTTTTTACTTTCCCTTATACCAAGCTTCCATTTTGTTGTAAGCATGTCTTCCTTATCTTTTCTCTTACAAAGGAGACTTCTTATTTTTCCTCTACTAGATTACCTTTTTTAGGCTTTTTCTAAATCGTAAAAGAGAGCTAGTACCTGCAAATAATAGAGAATTAACTGTTTTGTTTTAAAACTACTCTTTCAATAAATAAATTAGTAGGTAGGTAGGTAGGTAGATAGAACTATTCTTTCTTATAATGAAGTTAGAATGTAGGATTTATTTTAGATTTAACTTAACTCTTAGACCAGAAGGTGCTTTTGGAATAAGAGTAAACAGAACAGCAAAGTCTTTATGAAAGGAATTGGTGTAAAGGTAGATGTAGGTAAGATGCAGAAGACAATTTCTTTTCATTTTTTTTCTTTTAAATGTTTGTTTATTTTTGAGAGAGAGATGGTGTGAGCAGGGGAGAGGCATAGAGAGAGGGAGACACAGAATTGGAAGCAGGCTCCAAGCTCAGAGCTGTCAACGCAGGGGCTGAACCCACGTACAATGAGATCATGACCTGAGCTGAAGTTGGATGTTCAGCGTCCCTGACAAATTCTTTTTAACCTTTGATCTTAGGAGCACCTGATCTTGATTTCAGCTCAGATCATGATCCCAGGTCATGATGTAGAGTGCCACGTGAGGCTCTTTGCTGAGCATAGAGCTGCTTGAGATTTCCTCTTTCACTTTCTCTCACCCTCTCCCTCTGCCCGTTCATGCATGTTCTCTCTGTCTGTCTCTCTGTCTCTCTCTCAAGAAACAAAACAACAAAGCACATACTTAATTCAGAGCACACACTTTGATCTTAAGCACATACTTCAAAATTCGTGATTGTTTTACTGACATCATTTTGCAGATGCTAAAAAATGTCTGTATTGTAATGTTATAGCACTTACTTTTTTTTATTAAAAAGTTTTCATAATTTTTTTCTGGTTTATTCTAGGAAATGATGTCAGAGAAAGAAAGAAGCAATGTGGTTATAGCAAGGATGAAAGATCGGATTGGAACATTAGAAAAGGAACATAATGTATTTCAAAACAAAATGCATGTCAGTTATCAAGAGACTCAGCAGATGCAGATGAAGGTATATTTTTACTTTTTGAAAACAAAATGAAATTTTGCATTCATTTAATTGGTAAACTCTAAATACCTAATATGTGCAGGGCAGCATGCTGGGCCATGGTACACTCACTAACTAGTTAAACTGTCTCCCTGTATGTAAGTAAGCACCTTTTCTAGGTGGGGATGAGGAAGAGGCTAGAAGCTGACATGTAAATATAATGTACATATATAATATATACTATATACAATATAGTAGTCCCTCCCCTTTATCACTGATTCACTTTCTGTGGTTTCAGTTACCTGTGGTCAACTGCAGTCTGGAAGCAGATGATTCTCCTTCTGACATATTGTCAGAAGGTCAGTAGTAGCCCAGTACTATGTTGTAATGCCTATGTTGTTTATCTCCCATCTCATCATGTAGGCATTTTATCATTTCACATCATCACAAGAAGGGTAAATTCAGTGTAATAGGATATTTTGAGAGGGAGAGACCACCTTCATGTAACTTTTATTATAGTATATTATTAAAGTTATATTTTTAGTTATTAATCTCTTAACTATGCCTAATTTATAAATTAGTGATATGTATGTATAGGGAAAAACATAGTATACCTAGGGTTTAGTATTCTGCAGTTTCAGGCATCGACTGGGTGTCTTGGAAGGTATTCCCTGTGGATAAGGGGGGATTACTGGAGAGGTAACCAGTGGGTGCTTTAGAACCATTGGGATGGAAGGTGGGGAAGAGAAAGGTTATAGAGCAGACCCAGTAGAAATGATATGCAAACTATATTGAACGCTTTGAAACAATTAGATATTATCAGGGAGTGAAGAAATGGGCACTGGGTTATTTTACCTGATGTGATTCCTTAGTCCCGTCCCTAGGGGTGATGGTTCCGTGGTCTATTTTGGAGCCCAGGATGGTGCTTTTTAGTGAGTTCACTCCAAGTGTTTCTGATAGAGATTGCCCAGTGACCATAGTTTTTGAGAAATGCATTAAGAGTTGTGGTGTTTGGAAATCAGTGCTAGAATGAGAAGATCTAGAGATAAAAATAGAGCCTCTGTCCTAAAGAGCCTTGTATACTGAAAGACTGAGGAGCCATTAAAGGAGTTTAAGCAATTCAGCAGTGTGGTTATATTAGGATTTTTTTTAAGTCTGTTTGCTTATTTTAAGAGAGGGTGAGAGCACATGAATGGGGGAGTGGGGGAGGCCAGAGAGAGAGAGAGCCTGACTTGGACCTGAAACTCACAGATCATGATCTGAGCTGAAATCAAGAGTTGGACGCTTAAACAACTGAGCCACACAGGCACCTCAAGTATTTTTAATTATTACTCTGGCAGCAGTGTGGAGAGTGGAACAAGGAATAATTGGAAGGCTTTTGCAGGAATCCAAGTCAGAGAACAAGGGCCTGAAATCAGATGTTGATAGTGAGAGGTTGAGTTTGAGTGATACAGAAGAATTAGTAGATGGGCCTTAGTGATAGAATAGAGAGAGCAAGAGAGAAGTGATCATGGAGGAGGACTCCTGAGGTTGTGGCCTAAGTGACTTGTCATCTCTTGTTATTACTTTCCCCATTACACAGGGTTCAGTTCTTACAGTGTTTTCCACATATTCATCATTTTCATGATTCCAATTAGTCTGGACCCATTTTTTTTTTTTTTTTTTTACCATTGATAAAGAGGCTATTGAAGAACATGGTTTGGGTCTGCTTGTCTGGTGAGCTTATAATATTTCCCCTAATTGAACTCTCTGAACCAATGGTTTTTTAAATTATTTCCATTGCTGGTTCCATTGCTTCAAATTTGGAAGCTCTTAAATTTAACATATGCCTGAAATCAAACTCTTGCTTTTGATCAAGTTGTTTTTATTTTCCAATATTTGAGGCATTATTATCCTTTTGCTTGAATCCTTTGACTTCTCTCTTGCCCAGTTTAGTTTGTTCTGAAATCTTTTTTTTTTTTTTTCTTTTTGATATTTTTTATTTATTTCTAGGAGAGAGAGAGAGAGAGACAGCGTGAGCAGGGGAGGGTCAGAGAGAGAGGGAAACACAGACTCCGAAGTAGGCTCCAGGCTCTGAGCTGGCAGTCAGCACAGAGCCCGACGCGGGGCTCGAACCCACGAACCACGAGATCATGACCTAAGTGAAAGTCGGACGCTTAACCGACTAAGCCACCCAGGCGCCCCTAGTTTGTTCTGAAATCTTAAAGATAATTTATTTCTAGGTACTCTTGCATTCAGTTCTTAGATATTACCCTAGTTTATTATTTCATACTAACATCATTATAGCACCTTTTTAATAGAGCTCTCATTTCCATTTTAACATGTAATGTCAGAGTTTTGTCTACTTTAATCACATTGCTAGTCTGCTGAAAATTTAAAATTATTCTTTACTGTTATCAAAGTCCCAGTGTTCCCCATGGAAATATGCTAATAGCAAAGAAGTAATGAATGACTGTGTTGTCAGGTTCTGACCCTGTCCACTGCTCTGTGCTTTCATTTGGCCCAATCCTCTATCTTTCCACCCCCTAGCCATTTGAGATATTCTTTCCTATTAATAAGTAGGTTACTGAAGAACTGATTTTCTAGTCTCAAGTAGTCTTTTCTATTTTGTAATTCCTACTTCCTAGTCATTGAAAATTAGTTAAGTACTTGTAGCAACATCTTTTATTGAAGATGGAGGGTGATTTCTCATTTTCCTCCTTTTTTTTTTTTTGGTTTAACTTAATTGTGTTTAGAGGCCAAGATACAGGTTCCAGATGATAAGTTCTCTGAAAAATAGAAACATATACTTTAATTTCTTTTAACTGAATAGGTTTAGTTAAAATTATTAAGATTATTTCACATTCTAAAATAACACATTCCCTTATGGCAGTATATATGACTCAGTGTTCTGTATCTTTTGGTTCTGTAATTGTGGAATAAGAGGCCTGAATATTTTGGTAGATTTTTGTGTGATAAATTTGTCATCTATTTGGTTATAGCTCAATTTTAACTTAATATAAATATATTGAATGTATTTTCAGTTTTTAAAGTTTTGATTACTAAAATTTTTCATTAAGAAATACTGCTAACATAAAATTAATACAGGTTTAAGATAGGGTTAATTCTATATGAGTCCATTCTGTAGGAAAGAAACTTCAGTGTCTTTTATTTTAAAACAATATGTGTATGTGTATTTACATTTCCAGTATAATAGCCGCGAGCATCTACTTGCATTCTTGGATGTTGTGGCAGCTTGTATTTACTTTGCATTCATCAGTATCAAGATAAAATTCATCCTTTACACTTATTTTTATTTGTTTGAGAAGGATGGTTCAGACTTCATTCTGTTGATGCTTTTTACATTCTCATCATAGTAAAGTTTTTTTGTTTTTTTTTTTTTAAATGTTTTATTTATTTCTAGGAGAGAGAGAGAGAGACAGCGTGAACAGGGGAGGGTCAGAGAGAGAGGGAGTCACAGACTGAAACAGGCTCCAGGCTCTGAGCTGGCAGTCAGCACAGAGCCCGACGCGGGGCTCGAACCCACGAACCGCGAGATCATGACCTAAGCGAAAGTCGGACGCTTAACCGACTAAGCCACCCAGGCGCCCCTAAAGTTTCTTTTAAAAAGTTAGCTTTGGCAGTCATTGTTTCTAAATCTTACGCGTGTAAAATAATCTTAGTTCCAGCAGGTTCGTGAGCAGATGGAGGCAGAGATAGCTCACTTGAAGCAGGAAAATGGCATACTGAGAGATGCTGTCAGCAACACTACAAATCAGCTAGAAAGCAAGTATGTTTCCAAAACTTTCTTTGTAACTGAATGGTAGAATATTTTCTTGAACCATCAAAATGGTGTTTGATAGTAATCACTTAGACTTCTGTGTTTTACATTTGTTTTTAAAATGAATTAATTTTCACAGTGTTCTTGCTTATGTGAAGAACCTCTTCAGCTAAACTCTGTGATAAATACTAGAACTAGCAGTGGAATGCTGTCTGCAAATTTGAGACTGCATTTATAAGTTTTAAAACATCTGTCCCCTTTAACAGTAGTTCTCAAACTATTATTCTGAAGGGCATCTGGCACGTTCATTAAAAAACATATTCTTGTGTCTGACCCTGAAAAGATTATGATTCAGTGACTCTGAGGTGGAGCCCAGGAATCTGATATTAAGACACATTCCTTGTGATAGTGATGAAATTGGCTCTGGGCCATACTTTGAGAACCTGTACCTTGGGGAATACCTTGTAGCATGTCTATAAGAATAAGCACTCTGCCTGATTTTAATAGATTTTCAGAACACCAGTTTGAAGATAACAATGTTGACTTATGTTCATGAGTGAGTGGTCCTCCATTTTTCTTGATTATTTTTTTGTGGTTTTGGAATCTGTATTAATTGTTACTGGAGTGATTCAGACATGATACTCAACCAAACTTCATCATTAGTAGTTGCTTACAACATTTCTGTTTCAGTTGGCTGTAAGTGGAATTACTAACTCAGAAGAACTAATATAAAAAAATGTTTGTTCTTTTTATGTCTTTGTAATAATAGAAGGTTCCTAATCCAGTTACTGTTTTCAGGCAGTCTGCTGAATTAAATAAACTACGCCAGGATTATGCTAGGTTGGTGAATGAGCTAACTGAGAAAACGGGAAAGCTACAGCAAGAGGAAGTCCAAAAGAAGAATGCTGAGCAAGCAGTTACTCAGTTGAAGGTGATGTATTTCCACCTTTACTTAACACTTCATAAATAATGTAGATGTTAAACTTAGGAACCTAAATATGTGTGCAGGTTTGAGAAATGTAGATTGAGGCTTAAAGTCTAAGTGCTCTGCCAAATAGAAGCTTGTGCAGTAATGAAAGAATTGAATATAGGCTTGAGTTTGAGGTTGCAAACTGAAGATATGAAAAATGAAATTTGCTGATTGACAGATACAAGTCAAATTTCTTATATATGGAAATTAGGTTTGCAAGGGTGAGACAGACATCATGTTAAAATTACCTTCAATATCACTTATCCGTAACTTAGACTTTTCAATAAATTCAGTGGAAACTTTTTCTTCTAGCATTGGAATAGATGATTTTCCTTTGCTTTAGCACAGGACCAAGAAATGCTCCAGTAGCTTTCATTTGAGCCATACTGTAAAAAAAATCAGTTTCTTTAGATACTAGAATGGTACTTAGTACCATGAGAAGCTCATTCTGAGATGTGATATATGGGGTTGCTCAGGTTACAGAGGAATAGATTTGTTCTTTTTGTACCTTACAGCATTTGTACATTGAACAGAATGATAAGTAGAATTTTCCTTTCTTCCTTTTACTGGGGAGAGGGCTTGTTGAATATATAGTTCAAATTGTGTAAGTCAAATGTATTAGATTCTTAGGTTTGGTAGAATCATACATGATAGCATTTCCAGAGTAGTAGACCTTAAGAGGGCTTTGAGAATAAGTGAATGTGGAAAATAGTGCAATTTTTGTTTTTTTGAAGTTTTCAAAAAAACAGAAGTCCCTGTGGGGGATTGATAAAATTGCCTTTTATTTAAAATTTGTCTTGCTGGTATGTTTACTGCTGGAACTTATGAATATGGAATATGGAATATGGATATGGATAAGCAGATAAATGATGCTAAAGATTATAGTCATCATTGAACTGTTGTGCTATACCTCTAAATAGGAATTTTAGGTACCTACTGATATTTAGCAGTAAAGATACCATCCTGTCTTTTCCTAGGCTATCGGCAGAAGAAACTAAAAATAGAAAACAGATCTATACACAGTAGTAGTTATAGTTATCTACCTGCATTCAGTTTCTGTAAATCCTGCGTATCGGAGGGTAGAGTGGCTCTGGCTGGTAATATCTTTGTAGAAGTCTAGGCATATCTGGCTATTTTAGTGGTGTAGGAGACTATTTGTTGGAATAAGCGGTTTTATGACAGGAGTAAAGATAGAGGATGCTTTTTTTTATTTGAAGTTTCATGATTGTGCTGACTTACACTTTTTTCAGGTTCAACTACAAGAAGCTGAGAGAAGGTGGGAAGAAGTCCAGAGTTATATCAGGAAGCGAGCAGCAGAGCATGAGGCAGCACAGCAAGGTAAGGGGAAAAGATATGCATGTAAACTTAGTATACAGTGCTGGGTAAAATTTTCTCCCCTCTATATATGAAGAAAGAATAATTTAACCTTTTTGTTTAGGCCAATAGCTTTTATACTTTCAGAGTACCTTTATTTCTTCAACAGTTCTTCAGAGTTTCTAAAATAAACTGTACTAGCTTTATCTTGGAGCATTAAGTTGCAAATGAAATTATAATTTATAAGTAATAGGAACCTAGCTATGTGTTTCTGTAGTTATACCCTTTGGTTCCTTGATTACGTCTTCATTTTTCCTTTGTAAGGGAGGATTCACTTCCAGTATTGTGAAGACAAAAACAGCAAGAGCATTACCATTCCAAGTAATTGAGTTGAAACAGTCTACTTAAATGTTGACTTTTAATATTTATTTATTTGTTTTTTTTTAAGTTTATTTATTCTGAAGGGGAGAGAGAGAGAAAGCAGGGTAGGGGCAGAGAGAGAGGAAGAGAATTCCAAGTGGCCTCTGATGGCAGCGCAGAGCCTAATGTGGGGCTCTATCTCACGAAATGTGAGATCATGTCCTGAGCCAAAATCAAGAGTCAGACGCTTAACTGACTGTGCCACCTATATGCTCCTCATTACTTACTCTTAATCTGATGAATCCACCTGGGAGGTAATGGAGCTTGTATTGTATGTATTATTTGTCTCTTATTCCTTTTCTCCCACAAAAGAGGCAGTAAGGTAGTAAAATATAGTGCTAAGCAATAAGATAGATCATATGGTGTTTTGGGTTTTTAGACCTTTGGTTTCCTCTGATTCCCCACCCCTGGTACCCTTCCATCCCCTATATTTCCCTTTTGTTCAAAATTTAAAAATACCCAAGGTATTTAAAGGCCTTTTTCTTTGTATATAAAGTTTGTTTATGTTAAGGTACATTAGCTTACTTTTAAAATTTATATTTCATCATTGAATCACACATGAATTTTGTTAAGAATTGTAGCTATAAACTATAGATCTCTCTATAAACTATGTAACTATAAACAGTAAAGCTTCACCGTGACTAGAAGCAGTCACTTTTGCTTTTAGTATTTTTCATCATATTTCTAAATAAGCATATTATTTATACTAACACTGTTACCTCTTAATAGGCATCTGTTGACTTTCTTTTACAGGAAATGAGGACTTAACCCTCCCACACCATTCTTCCCACCCTTCCCTCATTCTACTGATATGGCTATGCATTCTTTTTGATTATATCAGCATTCATTGTTTGCATCATTAGGACAGTATAACTCAATCCTGAGCCAAGTTAAATATTAAAACTGCAATTTTTCTCATGAACAGTGTTATTTAAGTTCTCACAACTTATTATTGCTTTATGTTTTTAACTTGTTTGATCCTCATTTTCTTATAGAAAATTTTACCTGTGGTTAAACTCCTCTTACCCTCCTCTCTCTCCCACCTTCACAACATATGAGGTACTGGAGAATCTTTTCAGTTTTTTGTGGGGTATCCCTCTGAAGTCTTCCATCTTCCTGTTCCTGTACTTGTTTTCTAGGTTGACTCTATGACTTCCAGAGACTGCCTATTTGGATACTATGGATACTATGTCACTGCCATCTTCCCTGCTTTCCTCTCTCATTTAATAGCATATCTTTTAGTAGGATAAGAGTATGTCTTTAAGTACATTTGTTGAGGCTTTGCATATCTGGAAATTTTTTTATTCTTTCTGCCTTCATGCTTGATTGGTAGTTTGACTGGATGTAGAGTTCTAGGTTATAAATAATTTCCCCCCACAGAAATTTGAAGGCATTAATTCAGTGTTTTACTGTTGCTGGCAAAGAAATATTGTGCTCTTTTAAGTTCTAACCCTGGATATGACCATTACATGTTTAATTATCAGGCGTTCTTTTTTGAGTTGTGTTTCATTCTGTTATTAGTGTCTGGTTAGGGCATTAACATATTTTCTTAAAATGTGATATGTGCAAGCATACATGCACGCGCGCACAAACACACAGTCTCTTTTTCTCTATATGCCTCCCTTCCTTGATGGTAGTGGTGGTGGACTTGTTTATTATGGGGCCAGAGGCAGCTCTCATGATACCTGGTACCTCCATTTACCGAGCCTTTCCAGATTTCTGGAACACTTTCCCCTTCCAAGTTAGTGATCATCTCTCCATTTTATCTTAATTTCTGTGATTTGGAGTTACAGTCATTCTGATTGCATCAAAGACAGTTTGTGCTTGTTGCTCATTTTCTTTGTTATTTTGGAGTCATTGCTAAGAAGAGAAGCAGGCAGAAAAGTTTTACTTTATTCTACACCAGGGTATTTGTTAGCCCTTAGCATTTTTTTCTGTTTTCCAGGTAGGAGAGTACAGGGAATTTATAAGAAATACACTAGATAACTTCCAAAGTGTCTTTGGGGGAAATGAATGCTTTCAAGAAATGATACAACAGTTTTAAACATTCATGTACCATTCATTTAACACATTTATTGAGTATGTACTATGCATAAGCCTTGGTTAGACACAGCTCTGGGTATGGAGAAAAGGCAATCTCTGATTTCAAGAAGCTCACTTCTGGGTGAGGAGAAGAGTTAGTACGGCGTGGCAGGTTCTGTGATAAGGTAAACCGAGGCTGCTCAGGAGAGCCATGTGCAGAGGGGAAGAAGAGGAAAGATGTGTGTTTTTTAGAGGAGATATTGGGTATGCTAAAGATGGATAATAGTAACCACGCAAAGGAAGAGACCTTTGTGAAATGCAGTGTTCTCTTACAGATTTACAGAGTAAATTTGTGGCCAAAGACAATGAGGTACAGAGTCTGCATAGTAAGCTTACAGATACTTTGGTATCAAAACAACAGTTGGAGCAAAGACTAATGCAGTTAATGGAATCGGAGCAAAAAAGGGTGACCAAAGAAGAGTCTTTACAGATGCAAGTTCAGGTATCTAATTTTCCCTTGCTTTTATTTATTTTATTTTGTTTTGTTTTTTAAATTTTTTAAATGTTTATTTTTGAGAGAGAACACCAGCACAGGGGAGACAGAAAGGGAGACAGAAGATCTGAAACAGGCTCTGTGCTGAGAGCAGCAAGCCTGATATGGGGCTCAAACTCAGAAACTGTGAGATCATGACCTGAGCCAAATCTGGATGCTCAGCTGACTGAGCCACTCAGATGCCCCTGATTTTCCCTCTTTTTAAAAAATAAAGGTGCCCCTAATTTTCCCTCTTTTTAAAAAATAAAGGTGGACAGTGGCTGGATGTGTCTCTGTAGAAGAGAGAAGATAGTCTAGTTTATCCTAATTCTGGAGTGCTGGTGAATAATTATAATTTAATCTTTAAGCAGCTGTCACAATATAGTGTGTTTGAATATGCGCTTAAAGATGACCTCACGGTCTTAAATTCTTTGTGTTAGATTACAAACAGCATAACCCAATTTATAGCTTATAAATCAACTCTCAAAATAGATGCCTTGTCATTGTTTAAATTATGCCTTTAGGAATTTAAGAATGCCTTTTTAAAGATAACCAGAAGTTTATACCTTATTTTGTTCATATAGTTGGTATATTTGTTAACAGCATACTTTTCTCCCTTCTCCTTTTTGGTTGCTATTAATGAAAGGATATTTTGGAGCAGAATGAGGCTTTGAAAGCTCAAATTCAGCAATTCCATTCCCAGATAGCAGCCCAGGTAATTGTGCTTTTATATTGCTTATCATTATGAATAGCTGCTGCTGCTTTTTTTTTTTTTTTTTTAATTTTTTGTTTAGCCATGTAAATAGTCATATGAATGGCTGTTGAGTGCCAAGCACTGGATTAGTAGTGGGAGACTAGTCAGCAGTGACGAACCTGATTGCTAAGCACTCTGATAATTGTGTATAGTGCTATGGGAAAACACCAAGAAAGAAATCTAAATCCAACTAATGGAGAGTTTTTACCACAGGAGGAAAAAATGTTGATAATCTTGACACAAAAGAGAAGAAATGGCCAAATGCTATTAAGAATACTGGTTTATGTATTAAAAATACTTACTGAATATTGACTAGCCATGAGGGAAACTTCGTATACTTGCATATGGTAGCAGTATGTTAATAATAATGTTAATCTCAGGTTATATATACAAAAGATCATTTGAAAACTTACACTTCTGTTTAGCTTTCAAAGTTTTGCAAGTTGTATTGTTAGACCATTTATTCTTTTGCTACATTGCTGTGTAACATAGATAAATTCTGAAGTGTATATCTATATCTATAATACATTAAGAAAAAGAAAATACTTTTAAGTACTTATTTCTAAGTGCTTATATACATACTGTTAATTTCAGTTTCGAATCTTCAACTTTAAAATTCAAAAAATTGTGGAAAAAGTATTAGCTTAGAATAGAAGTCACTTTTCTGTGTTAAAGAGCAGTTTTAATGTTAACTTGTTTTTAAGATTTAGGCAAATTCAAACTCTCAAAACTTTTGAGATTAGACGTTATGTTTTTTTTTCTGGTTGCTTTCTTTGTAGAGACTGTCATCTAAAATGAATTGGGCAAGAATTACTTATGATAGGAGAAGATGTCTGTATATGAAATACACATCTCTATATAAATTATCAACTCAGAGTGGATTGAAATCTTGTTATTAGCTGAGAGGTAGCTCTAGAAAATTTGTTAGGAATTAAATACTTAGAGAATGCTGTAAGTATGTTCTTGAAGGGTGAAGATGAGGATGGGTATTACCAAATGATTCAGTTGTTACCTTAATCATGAACTGTATCATTTCATTATTGGAAGTTGTTACTAAGGTAAAGATGAGAAATAGCCTTTCTGGATGTTTTTCCTATATATTTGTTTCTTATCATTTATACAGTTTCCAGACCTGGCAGTTTTATTTTATTTGAACTCTCCTGTGCTAATTCCCTAATGCTGTTCGTTAGTGATCAAAGTTGCTTTTAGAACAATAGCTACCATTTATTGAACATTCATGATGGGCCAGACACTCCTTTAACAACTTGATGTACATTAATTTCTTTTCATTTTTGAAGCTCTATTTGATGATTGTATAACTTTTAAACTTTCTTTTATAGTATGTTTTTATGTTGACACTGTTTTTCTTTCTTAGACCTCCGCTTCAGTTCTGGCAGAGGAATTACATAAAGTGTAAGCCTGCCTTTCTACATTTCTCTTAGGATTACTTAGTCACCACTAGCTGATGCCTGTTTTATCAACACTTAGGATTTACTTTATATTCTAACTTGTTCAGAAAATACTCTCAAGTAGATTTGGAGCAACTTTGCTCTCCTCTCTCTCGCAGTGAGTTGAGTTCCTACACATTGCGCATTTTGTGTTTTTACGTCCTTATTGTAACAGTTGAGGAACCGTTCTTTTATTTGGGCTTTAACAGTTATGTGAAGAGAGAATTATGATTTGAGATTAATGGAAGTAAATTACTTTTGTGTCTAATAAGTAGTTGTATCTTATTAGATACAATCTTTTTTTTTTTAATCTTTTTTTTATTTATTTCTAGGAGAGAGAGAGACAGCGTGAGCAGGGGAGAGTCATAGAGAGAGGGAGACACAGACTCTGAAATAGGCTCCAGGCTCTGAGCTGGCAGTCAGCACAGAGCCCCACGCGGGGCTCGAACCCACGAACCGCGAGGTCCGAAAAGTCGGACGCTTAACCGACTAAGCCACCCAGGCGCCCCTATTAGATACAGTCTTAAACTGTGTCTTAACTATATGGTGGTATACCCAAAACAAGGTTCTATTTTTAATGTATTGTTTACTTTGCTTAGACCTAAATTGCTTGAGTTCAGAAGACCTGAAATGTGGTTTTGGCATTGGCAGGTTTTAAGCTTAAATTATTCTTTTCACCTCAAGTTTTAAAACGGGTATGTATTTTAGGGAGTTGTAATAATACAGCTAAACTGAAATACAACTAAACTGAAAGGAGCTATAGAAATGGAGGGTACAACTACATGAGAAACTACTTAAATAAGCATGACCACTTTTAAGGCTTTTAATCCCTTGATTTGTGACTTGACTTCTAAATGTTTATTGAATGTATAAATGTATGTATGAATGTGTTAAATGTATTTCCTGTTAAAGGATTGCTGAAAAGGATAAGCAGATAAAACAGACTGAAGATTCTTTAGCAAATGAACATGATCACTTAACAAGTAAAGAGGAGGAACTTAAGGTACAGTAGTTTTTACAAATGGCAACAGTATTTTATAGACATTGAATTGCCTGGGATGGTAATCAGTATGAGTGTCTATCAAGAATGGAAAATAACCTACATTCATTTTAAAAGTGTCTATCTCTTCTATAGAATCCCTTTTAGCCTTGTAAGAAAAGTTGAGAAAGGGCTTTTCTCATGCTATAATTCACAGTAATTTGGGAAATATGCAACATAACAGGAAATGGTTTCTCTTTCTGCTTTAAGAAGTTATAATTTGAGACTTTTGCTTAGGTAGAAGAGATGCTATACAAAATTTAGGGTCAATTATATTAAATATTTTCTAATATTTTTCCTTCTCCTAGGATACACAGAATATGAATTTCTTATTAAAAGCTGAAGTGCAAAAGTTACAGGCACTGGCAAATGAACAGGTAGATAGATCTTCATTGCTGTTAAACATTTACCTCACAATTTCCCTTAGTCTGTACTTACTTGCATTGGTATTGCAAGCCCTAATTTCATCCATGCACATAGTAAATATAATGGTTGTGTTTGGCTGCATGGTGTTATTGTTAAAAGCCTCTTCTATTTAACCATGACTCTTATAACCCACCTACATATTGCTGTCTTCATGTTGAAACTGATGTTTGAATGAATGAATTAATCACTTTAAAGGTCTCCAAGGAATCCATTAAAACATTCTTAATGTGCTGATTTGTTTTATCCTTCTGCCATTTAATCAAAAAACTGTATACCTTTCTTAGGATAAAATTTGATCAGTGAGAAGTCTGGAATATCGGGACAGCAAAAAGTATTACAGAAATGTGTATGATGTTGCTTTAACTTTTATTTACTCCCAAATACGTGAAAGTGTAGCTTTTCAGTATATAAAACTAAGTGAATGAATAGTGTTGAGTGTTGCCTGAGAAATAATGCAATTCTCATCTCCTTTCAAACACAGGCTGCTGCAGTACATGAACTGGAGAAGATGCAGAAAAGGTGATTAAAGTATTGCTGTATATGGAGCCATTCCTACATTTATATTCATTTATAATTGCAGAAATTATTGCTACTCATAATTTATGTAAACTTTACAAAAGTACAAAGTATTTTAATTGATTTTCTTTCTCCTAGTATTCATGTTAAGGATGATCAAATAAGATTGCTTGAAGAACAGCTGCAGTGTGAAATTTCAAACAAAATGGAAGAATTTAAGGTGTGTGATTAAGCTTGTCAACTGAACTTAGAACAACCTTACATAGTTTTCAGTTGAGGTGCATCTAGAAATACTAGGGTTTATTTATTTTAAGAGAGGGCGCTAGTGAGCATGCGCGGGGGAGGGATAAAGGGAGAGGCAGAGAAAGACTCCAAGGCAGGCTCTGCACTGTCGTTGCAGTGCTGAGCCAAAATCCAGAGTCGGACACTTAACCTACTGAGCCACCCAGGTGTCCCTAGAAATACTAGTTGTTGTATGAAATCACTCTGGTGCAGTGTTACCAAAGTTTATTTATTTGGGCTTTTACAACCATTGTATTTTATCATGTACTTACTTATTTGTCTAGATTATCTTATCTGTTCTAATAACAGACTTCTGAAATTTGTTTTGCCTCAGTGTTTGCTCTGCAGTTTTTAGTTGGTAATCTGTGGTGGTTTTAACTGTCTCCACTGTTGGTGCAGTGCTAGTTTCTGGTCATGGCCATACAGATGGAAGGTTGTAAAGCATTCCTTTCACCAGGGTGCATCTCTTCATGTGCATAATATTTGCGTTCTTCTTTTTGCATTTATTTTATAAGAACTCCGTAAATACTCACTTATCAAAGTAGCATTTCCCAGAATCCATTGGCACAAACTGTTGGAATTCTTTGAAATATACATGAAATAATTCTAAGCACAGTATTAATACTGTTTTGGGATGAAGCACATGACTGAATTGGGTGGCTCAGTAGAAGCTGTTTTCAGAGATCATTGTGATGAAATTTGAAGTGAGGTTCAGGAGCAAACGCCTAAGAAAGAATTCTTGAGACTATTTTGCTGCAAAAGGTGATTTTATTTAAGCATGGGGACAGGACCCATGGGCAGAAAGAACTACCCTGGGATTGTGATTATGTACTTTTAAATTGTGGAGGGAGGGGGGATAGAGATGAAGTAAGTTTCTAAGGAATTTTAAAGTAAGGCTTTCAGGATCTTGAGGGGCTAGCTGCTCTTAAGATAAGGTTACTTTTAGTTTTTAGTGAAAGATAAACATTAAGGCACTAAGGCAGCCATGAGTTTGTTGAGGAAGGTCACGCTCTGCATGTTTCAGGCATCTGTCAGCTGTAAGGAGATTTAATTAAGCTATATTTCTCTTGACTTTGTTTCTCTTATCAACTGTACATGTACTTTATATACTAGTACTATTTCGATATTTTGGAAATACGTATTCATTGAAACTGGAAAATGAAACCACGTGAGATTTGCATTCTTAGATTTGTATATAATTTAACCATCACTTTATGAGTACTTGAATAATACGGGTTTGATTTTTTTTTTTTTTTAAATCCATTGAAATGATTGCTTGGTTACCTTTTTCTTAATAAAATAGTACTTTGAGATTCTTTCTTTCAGATTCTAAATGACCAAAACAAAGCATTACAGTTAGAAGTTCAGAAGCTACAGACTCTTGTTTCTGAACAGGTAAGGCTTTTTGTGAATCACAGGGTAGAACTATCTAATATTAACAAGATCTGGTTCTTCTTAAATATTAACCAATTCATTCATTTTGAGGAGTTTTGTTAAGGGATGGGTACATCTTTTCATTGCATTTCTACTCATCTTATGCTTATCATATGTCTAAATTAAGGAAAATATGTTTTCTTCCCTGAGAGAAAGCTAATGCTCACCTCCTATTTATAAGCACTTAAAAAAATGTACCAAGATACATAAAAAGCTTATAAGTCCTTGATACAGTTGGCTCTCAGGATAAAAGTCCTTACACTTTTGGAGCCTCACCTTTTTCTTTAAGGCAACATGACTTCTTAAAAAGAGAATAGGTTTGAAACCTGCTATTAGCACTTGAAAGCAGTTATGTTGATCAAATTTCTTAACCTTTCTGAGACCTTTCATTCCAAGTCTTTGACACTGAAATGTTATTTTACATCATGAGTTTGTTAGATTTAAATGGGGAAGTTTATGTTTAGTGTTTAGCTTAGTGCTTGGTCTTTAGCAGGTATCTAAACCTTAATTCCTCTCCCTTTGGATATTTATTTTTTCGTCTCCTCTCTACTCCCGTGACTGTCGTCATGTCATACTTTTTTCTATATTTTTTAGCAAGCCATCAAAACTGTACAGCGGTCTGAGTAATAAGCATGGCTCCATAAACAAGAGCCCCAGGCAATGTCCGTTCTGTGGCCTTTTCTAAGAGTTGCCGTCAGACTTTTCTTACACACAACTCTTCAAATTCCGGTGTTAAAAATATTTTAGAAACTCTTGTTATTAGATGACACATTAAAATAGAAATGAATGTTGCTCTAATAGTGTTAATAGTATTAGAAATTGCAGTTATTGCAAATGATAGCACTTCGTTTCACAGATGCATGCTTTCTGTTGTATTTTAAAATTCACATTATACAAGTACTGAATTGGTGTAGCTACTAAGCTGTGCCAAATACTGTGGAAGTATTTTGTTAACTTCTGTTTACTTTTCAAGAAGTAATCTACTTTTCTTCTCCCTCTCTTGAATATGATAGTAAGTGCCTTGCATAATCTTTATTACTTTGTATATGCTTTATCCTTGCAAACAAAAGACAGTAGAAGAGATAATGCTAAACTGATGAAATTTTTTTCTAAAATTATTGTCAAGTTGGTTTCATATAACACCCAGTGCTCATCCCAACAAGTGCCCTCCTCCATGCCCATCAGCCCCCTTCCCCACTGCCCCACCCCCATAAGCCCTCAGTTTGTTCTCAGCATTCAAGAGTCTCTCATGGTTTGCCTCCTTCCCTATCCCCAACTTTTTCCTGTTCTCCTCCCCCATGGTCCTCTGTTAAGTTCCCCTAATCCACCTATACGTGAAAACATATGGTATCTGTCCTCTGCCTGACTTATGTCGCTCAGCATAACACCCTCAAAGTTCCATCCATGTTGCTCCAAATGGCCAGATTTCATTCTTTCTCATTGCCATGAAGTATTCCATTGTATAGATAAACCACATCTTCTTGATCCTTTCATCAGTTGATGGACATTTAGGCTCTTTCCATGATTTGGCTATTGTCGAAAGTGCTGCTATGAACATTGGGGTACATATGCAGTGCCCCTATGCATCAGCACTCCTGTATCCCTTGGGTAAATTCCTAGCAGTGCTAGTGCTGGGTCATGGGGGAGTTCTATTGTTAATTTTTTGAGGAACCTCCACCCTGTTTTTCAGAGGAGATGCACCATAAACTGATGATATTTAGTGCAGTGCAGGGACATGACTTCATGCCACTGTAATGCTAAAATAATATTGAAGGCTTATTCTTAAATCTCATTCTCATTTCCCTTTGTTGTGGCATAGTTTGTAAGAGATCTATTTCATCAAACGTAAGACTTTTCCCCCTCATAGTTTCTGCTTACAGTTTAGCTGCAACATTTAAAATTTTAGGAGCAACATAAAGATACTAGGTGTGAGATGCGATATTAATGACTTAGATTAGGTAAAATAAGATTGATAATTTTTGGTTGTATTAATTCTTACCCAGAAAAGCAGAATGTAAATTTTGGGTTGGTTATCAGAGATTCTGGGATACCTATTTCAATATATAAGTTTTAAATACTTTATAAAATTAACATCATAGGGGATAAAACAGATGTCTAGAAACAGATGAATCTGTCCTGAAATTCCAGTATTAAAGGTGTTGGTTATGCTTACTTATATTTAAACGGAAAACCTGAATCTTTAAAAATCTTTTAACTTTAAAATCTTTTAATCTTTTAATTCTATACTAAAAATGTATTCTCTCTCATTAGGTAAGAACAAAATCACTATCCTCAAATTTTTCTTTTTCCTTAAAGATAATACAAAGACTTAAGAATTGCCATTCTAATAGTTTACATAAAATTCCTCATAATATGTGAAAGTTAATATTAAAAAAAAAAACTCCTCTAATTCCTACCTTAACTGAGTTACACTTCCATCTACTGCTAAGGTTTGTATGTACTTTTAGATATTCTGTTAAAATGACAACTTTTAGCATGTGATAGATTTTGTTTCAACAAAGAATAGTTTTATGAAATTTAATCCAAGGAACAAAATTTTATAGCTACATTTGAAAAATTTATTTAACAGAATTTGATAGGTGGGAAAACTTAACTTTGTGGTACTAATTTAAGATTTTCTCTTTGGTAATTCTTAGAATTTTTCTTGTTCTTACAGCTCTGTTATTTAAAAATAGTTTAGAAAGCATGTAATTATGATAGGCATGTTTTGGTTGTAAGTGTAACTTAACTCTCTCATCTTGGCAGAATATAGAGCCATCTCTTTGGCTTTTTCTCTGTCCATTTTTATTGCAGTTGCTAGTGAAAGGAGAGATAAAAATTAGTATAATCTGAGTTTCTTTCATTTCTGCCTTTCTTTAACCCCTTCCTACCCAGCAGTCAGAATTCCAAGTGACAGTTGAGAGATGAACAGTCTAGTATGTAAAAAAAAAAAAAAAAAAAAAAAAAAAAAAAAATTTCAGTCCTTTTGCTCTTTGGATTTTTATCCGGGAGGAAAAGATTGAGCTTATTGAAATAGGAACCAATAATGGTGCCTAGATGTTGTTTCTTCAGGTGTAGGAAGCAGAAAGACAACAAATATCAGGTAAGGTAACCTGTTTATACACTAAAGAAGGGAAGCCTCCGTTTAGATACCGGCCTTTGGATAGAGATAAAATAAATTAGTTACTAAGATCTCATTTATTCAGAATAAAATAAAACTTCTGGGGATGCAGGGTTCTGAGGTGCCCTTTTTTCTTTTGTTCGTTCTTTTTTAGCTCTTTTTAACAAAGGAGTAACATTTTCATTCTTATTCTAGTAGATTTTAAAGATCCAATGATCAGGATTAGAAAAAACCATAGGAGTAGGAAATTTTTTCTCTTTGCTCTGTTGCCTGGTTGTATATTATTGCAAATAATTTATTACTGCATAAAATGTAGTTTTGGAGATCATCTAGAGAGAACAAAATTGGATTGGATTAGGCCAATTATGCATAAAATAAGGTTTGATAGATGCTAAGCTGGTCAGTTTTCTAGAATTGAGTATTTGATGAGCTCTTGACCAAGAGTACTTGTTACACTGTAACCTTGTTAAAGGAAATTGGTTTCATTATATATATTTATGAATGGAGTCTATGCTGGATACTATCCTACATGCTGAGGCCATAGACATGAATGAGACTTGGTTCCTTCCCTCAAGAATGTGGCTTATTGTGGAGATAGATGTGTAACATGGAAAAGTATGATGAATAAAATTGTTGAACTGTGGTCTAAGTTTAGAGGAGGGGATAATGAATTCTATATGGAGGAGACTGAGGGTGAAGAGGCACCACAGAGAAGGGACAGCTAAACCTGATATTGAACAGATGGCCTTGAGTTTGCCCAACAGCTAAGGGGAAGTTCAGGCTGAGGGGGTACAGTGTGAAAAATCATGGCAGTGTATGACCAGACTGGTGTATTGAGAATGTATTGGCATGTTGTAGAAGTGCAAAGTATGAGGTGTAAGGAGTAGAGAAAGATTAGATAGGGCCTAGTCATGCAGGACTTTGTATGCTGTGTAAGGACCATGAATGTGATCTAGCATGTTGGTAAACCCTTGAAGGGTATTACAAGGATGAAAATAACATCTTAGATCACTCTGGTAACAATGAAGTGTTTGAATTTGTGTGGGGGAGAAGTATGTAGGACTAAAGATACAATTCAATAAATGATTAAGGTGCAGATAATAGTGTTAAGTTTTTTTTTTCAGTTGAGATATAATTGACATATAACAAATTAGTGTCAGAGGTGTACAACATAATGACTTACATGTGTATAGAAAGTGAAATGATCACAACAATAAGTAGTTAATTGTTAACATCCATCACCATGCATAGTTAGTTTTTGTTAAATCTTTATGTGAGATGGCATTCATCAAAAATAAAGATGGACAAAAACCTCATCTTGATGAAGGATTTATAAACTTACTATATGATTTATTTTCATAGTTTATAAACCTGACTTAATATACTTTTGACAGCTCCTATTTTCTAATGATGGGAAAATTTTCCCCATTGGGAAGTTCTGCCTCTACCCCTCACAAAATAATCCTTATAGACTACAGGCAGAGAAAAGGATTGTATGGTATTTTGATATCCAGATGAGCGAAGCTGAGAGCCTAACCTCAGGCTTTCAAGAAAAGGGGGTTAATTTTAGAAATATATAAGAAGTGGAGTCTTAGGCCTTGGATTTAGCAATGGAAAAATTTATAGTATTTGTTAAAAATGGCTATAATAAAATTGGGGGAAAAGTAAGAAACTAGCAAAATTAGGAGAGTGCCAGTAGAAATTGTGATGGGTAGAAAAAATATTCAAGGAAAATGACCCCCAAGCCTGTTTAGGTAGGCTGCTTAGCTGCCTGAAGGCTTGGGAATGCCAAGGGGGAAGGAAGCCCCTCTTCTGGGCATAAATTATAGCAGTGGGGACTTGTGTGTTTCTTAGAGATGCTAGAAGGATAGTGGTTAAAAGTGGAAGTCAATAATCATGTTTTAATGGTTTACAAAAATATATTCATGTGTTGCTTCTACAATTTACAGTCAGTTTTAAAACATTCTATATATTGTGTAAGTACAATCACATAATATCTGGATGTTAAAAATTCATTGATTTGTACAAAGGGTTTTTACACTCGCACATATAAATGTTGTATCATAGTTTTTAAAAAGTCAAAAAAGTCAATTAGAAGAAAGAACAAAGCCTCTTTCCTGGCCTTCAAGGCTTTAGAGCTTTGAGTTTTTATATTTGAAGAATTGAATTGATACAGAAGAAGCAAATTCTCTTCTTATTCTTAAGATTTCCTTTTAAAGTAATTAAAAAATTAGGAGATACTAATTCCTTTTGCTAGCCCATATCATTCCTTATCTTTTTCTGTGTCTTTTTTGTAATGCTTTTCTGATTTAATTAGTTCTCTATTAGCAGTCTTCAAATGTGGATTGCCTTCCTAAATTTTGGATCTAATTAAAATTAAGTAATTTTCATAGAATTCTATTTCTAAACTACATCAAACTTGGTAAAATTAAACTTTTTTCTTTTTTTGGGTGATTTTTATCTTAGCCTAATAAAGATGTTGTGGAACAAATGGAAAAATGGTAAGAATTTAAACTTTTCTTTTTATATTTTAATGACTCATTTCTACCAAATTTGAGGTAACAGAATTACTATATTAATGTAGATTAAAATCCTCTTTGTACTTCATAATGGAAGAATGTGATACGCTATTGATTAGTTTCATTTGGGCCTACATTAGGTTTGTGGTGGTATGTGTGGCAGTGATTTTTTTTTTTTTTTTTTTTTGGTGGAGGCTAGCATGTAAGCATGTCTTACTTCAACACGTTTTACTTATTGTTAAAGAAGCAGTACCCTTAGACCATGATCACAGATCCTCACAAAACTTTCTAGAATTAAGTTTATAAGGAATGATGGACACAGGAGTTGATTGATATAAAATATTTAGCATTGATAGCATTTACATTGAAAAATAGTTAATTCATGTTTTAAATTTATAATTTAGCATTCAAGAAAAAGATGAGAAGTTGAAGACGGTGGAAGAATTACTTGAAACTGGACTTATTCAGGTGGCCACAAAAGAGGAAGAACTGAATGTAAAGCATTTTATAGATTTGTTTTCCTTGTGTGGGGTAGTCAGTGAACATGAAGGAGATTTACTATAATTTTAGATTCTCCCCCATAGCTTTCAAAACTTCATATTAGTTATCCACATCTTATGAATATATTTTTTTTCATGAAATGTAACATTTTATTAGGAATACAAAAATGCGTAGTTGATTGTAGCATTCACTGTCCTAATGGAATAGATACTGTTTTTATGTTTTATATATGCTTCCCTACCACCACCCATGCCCAAATTGTAACCAAATGATAACTGGCAGACTTCATAAGTTCATGAAATAGTATTGGAGGCCAGGGAAAGGAGAGTCTACAGTTCTATTTTGTGATTATCATTAGCCTTAACTAACAACAAAGATGTATTGGAGTTAAGGGAGAGAAACGACAAGTGGTATACAACATGCTCTTGAAGTTGTGGAAACATAAGCAGAAATACTTGTGGGGGTAAATGAATTAAAGATCCATTTGGCTATCTCTAGAAGAATTATAGACATGAGTGACAAGGAGATTTGTGAACCTTCCAGAGAGGGAAGGAAGCAGCTAAAGAAAAATGAGAAGCTAGGGTATTTTGAAGATAGCTGATTTTTTAGAAAGTTAAAGTATGTTGTGCTTATATGTCTTTGAAAAAGGCAATAAGAACAGAAAATTCATCTCTGGCGAAAGAAGTTCAAGACTTAAAGGCTAAACAGAATGATCAGGTAATGTATTCAGTAGGGCCTGCAACTGTTCTCTTTTAAACAATGGAAAACTTCTTAGGTTCAAATAGAGCAAATCTGTTGTTAATCCTCCCTTCACCAAGGTGGAATTTGTCAAAGTTTTCATCTGAATGATTAGTGACTTAATTCAGTACTAGAAGCTGCATTTTATTGAATGCTGACTTGTATGCCAGGCACTGGGTAGAGTATTCTAGATAGGATACCATTGCTGCTTACTACAGCAGTAAAAGGTTTTGAGTGTACAAGTATAACACAAGACTCTAAAAAGCAGTAGAAGAAGCTCTCTGATATTGGGCAATTTCCTAGTTGGTTTACCTTTTCATCTGGTTAGAATTATTAGATGAATAATTGTAGCATGTTGATTTTTCTTTTGGTCTACACTTAACTGTAAATAGCCTTGAAGCTACTTACTTTCAGAGTGCTTTTCATTTTTGTTATTATGACATTTAAAAAAATCTAGAAAGAATTAATTCTTGGGTTTACTTTTCTCATTTGGATTTGGTATAGTGGAAAGTATAAGGATAATATACTTTTCTATTTCTGAATTCATTTATATCTTGAGCAGAGTACTAAGTAGATACCCTCCTATTTCCAGGTTTCTTTTGCATCTCTAGTTGAAGAACTTAAGAAAGTGTAAGTGATGGCCTTTTTAAACTGGTCTTTTCTCTTTTGGTCCATTTTCTTAGTGCTCATAAATCTTGTTTTATTTTGCAATTGAGACAGTTGATGTATGTTAATAGTTTAACCTTCCACTCTAGAATTTTTTGCTGGTGGATTAAGAGAATTTAGCTGTGCTTTCTTGGGGCACCGTGATTGCTAAAACCTCTATTTCTGTAATTGATTCCACTTATTTTCTAAACTTCTGCCATCAAATTGCTAATTTTTGGTTACTGCTGTAAGAACTATTTTAAAAGAAAACTGGTTATATTGGATAGAGAGATCCTGTACCCTCTTGAGGTACCTGTAAGTTTGATGCCACTGTGTAGAAGTTCTGCCACTGCTTTCAGAACTCTGGAAGCCAATATTGTTGAGAGGAACTTGATTCTCCCTAGTGTTCCTCAGGACACTCTTAACATTCCCTATGTTCTTTCAGAGCATGTCACCTGCTTCTCTTTGTGTTTATCGGCTCCAACCATCTGGTATATACTGACTAATATTCATTTAGGAGGATTTTTAAGTATTTTTTTCCCCCTTCTTCAAGATACGTTGCTATCTTTCTTAAAATGGGAAGAGTTGATATGGATGGCCCTAGTCATGATTGGTGCTACTTTTATGTCTTGGTGGGTCTTGATGATTTCTACTAAAGTCTAATACTGCATTTCTTCATCTAAGGATCCATGAAAAGGATGGGAAGATCAAGTCTGTGGAAGAGCTTCTGGAAGCGGAAATTCTCAAAGTTGCTAATAAGGAGAAAACTATTCAGGTATTGGGAGAGAGAAAATTGTGTGTTTTGTATTTTTGTTTATCAACTTTAGTGAATATCATTTAATTTCATGTGTTTGTACATTGCATTTTATGTCAATTTCTATGTTTCCATTGTCCAATCCTGTCTGTTTTGTCATTGTCAAGGATTTGAAACAGGAAATAGAGGCTCTAAAAGAAGAAATAGGAAATACCCAGCTTGAAAAGGCTCAACAGGTAAAAATCTCAGAGCCATAGCATGACAGATTTCTTAGTGTATGTGTATTTATGAACTATTTGGTTTTTTTTCTTTTTCCTCAGAAAAAAACTTTCAGTAGTGTGTTGTAAGTATTTTGGGTTATGTGCTTTTTATTTTTTGCCTGATTTGAGAAAGTGTTGTTGATATCAATGTATTTTTTAACTCTTAAAGATTCTTTTCTAGAACATTTTGTGTCTTAATGTTTCATTTTGGTTTGCCAACTTAAATACAAAGCAGTTTGGCAAATCTTTTTTAACCTTTTTTTTTTTAAATTGCATGGATTAAAATGTTTTGTTAAAGAATATTGCTCAACCTTTGCCTGTAGAACCAAGTAAAACTTCACTGGGGGATTTCAGAGGTTGCTTGGGATTACTGGACATATAGGGGTTTTGGTGAATTTAATCTGACAAGGCTTCATTGAAAACATGGGGAGATTGTGTGGAAGAGATGATTCATTACTCATCCAAGAATTATTCAACAATATTTCCTGAATTCCTCCTACTTGTGAAAGCACTGTGTTATTGATTGAAAATAACGTCTTGAACAAAACAGGGTATGATGAAAATATCAGTTCTTTAATATAGATTGGGCCATTAGGAAGGTCTCTTGAGGAACTGACATCTAAGCCAAAATCTGAAGGGACAATAAGAAGAGCGTAGGGGATAAAAAGTGCTATTGAACTGTTGTGTATGATGAAGAAAGCAGGACAAAGTAGTGTTGAGTAGTTGTCCTTGAAGACTGGGAAGGAGAAGAGCTCTGATATGGTAGGGAGGTATATGTATAGTTAATACTCTAATTTTCACAACTTGAGAATGAACACATTCAGACTTTTCATATTTTTATTTTGTTACTCTTACTGTCATTGGAATCAAGAGAAGGCAAAATCAAAACACATCTTATTTTGGCTTGAATAATTCAGCTAGGATTTTTTTTTAATGTATGTTTGTTTGTTTGTTTATTTATTTATTTATTTAGAGCCTGTGAGCAGGGGAGGAGCAGAGAGGGCGGGAGAGAATCCCAAGTAGGCTCTGCACTGTCAGCACAGAGCCTGAAGCAGGGCTTGATCTCATGAACCATGAGATCACTACCTGAGCTGAAATCAAGAGTTGGATACTTAACTTACTGAGCCACCCAGGCGTAGCTCAGCTAGGACCTTTGTAATTTGAAGTGTATATACTCTTTAAAGTTTATCATCAGGCTTAAGGTAAACTGAAAGGATTATAAATTGCTTTTTTTTCTGAAAGCTTTTTTCTTTGTATTTCAGTTATCTATCACTTCTCAAATTCAGGAGTTTCAGAACTTGTAAGTACCATTTCTCTCATTTCCCTTCAATATCTCTTTCCACAAGTTAAATACAAGTATATACAAGTCAAATATAAACTAAATGCAATTATAATGAAAATCATAGCTTCTTTTTATTTGATTTCAAGTAATGTTTTTAGGAATATGAAGTAATATCTCAAAAAGGTCTCATGGTCTTAACGTTTTCCATTGGGATTTAACTTACAGGTTTTTTGATGGGAATGGGGAGGGAGTAGAATGTCTTATTTTTCATAATTTATAATCTGAATATGACCTCAAACTGAGATGTTGCTCTTTGCCCATTTTAATAGCCACTATGAAACTTGCTATATAATTCATAGCCACACCAGTGGTAATAAGCTGTCTAATTTTGCTGGTATTGTCTTAAACAGACATCCCATCTTATGAGATGAGAGTAGGGCTATGCTAATTTATTCAAGATCTGGATCTGCAGTGATAGATGGAACCCCTTCCTTCCTTCCTCCCTCCCTCCCTCCCTCCCTCCCTCCCTCCCTCCCTCCCTCCCTTCCTTCCTCCCTTCCTTCCTTCCTTCCTTCCTTCCTTTCATTTGTTTTTGAGAGACAGAGTGTAAGTAGGGGAGGAGTACAGAGAGAGGAAGACACAGAATCTGAAGCAGGCTCCAGGCTCTGAGCTGTGAGCACAGAGCCAGATGTGAGGGTCGAACCCAGGGATTGTGAGATCACGACCTGAGCTGAAGTTGGACACTTAACCAACTGAGCCACCCAGGTGCCCCTGGAACTTCTTTCTTTAATTGTCCTATACTTCTTAACTTAGTATCTGCAAAATTACGTTGGCCTGTATACTTAAAATATTTATTTTTTAGTTTATTTTATATCATCTTGGTCTGTAAATACAACCTAAAATCTACTTTTACAGTCTCCAGTAATTTTTGTTTGTATAGTCCTATAACATTTTCATTGATGCTTCTTAACTTATTGTCAGATTAAAAGGAAAGGAGGAACAGATGAATGCCATGAAGATTGTTTTAGAAGAGCAAGAGAAAGACCTAGCCAATAGAGCAAAATGGTTACAGGTGAGAAGTCAAAAACAAAAGTAAACACTTTTTTTATACTTGAATATCATTTCAGTTCATACCAATTCTTTTTCAGGATCTTCAAGAAGAAAATGAATCTTTAAAAGCTCATGTTCAGGAGATGGCACAACATAACTTGAAAGAGGTATAGTATAAGTAGATTACTAGCATGTGACATAAAAAGTGAGAAATCTTTTTTACTGCACTAGAAAATAAATTGAGTTTCTTTGCCAGAAAAATTAGTTTATCATATTTTGTTGTTGCTTGATAGAATAAATTAAATTTTATCTGTGTCAAGTCTTTTCTGTCTGATTTGTCAACGTAAGCTTAAAAGCATTACCTATCCGTTTTCTGATCGACCCTTGAACTCGTACTTCGGTATATGTTTTTAGTTGGTATATTAATTTGTAATCCTTGAAGAGATGGATATTAAAAATGGAGTTAAAGTTCATTCTGTCTTTGTTTTATAAATAGCCTAATTATAACATTTAATTATGTTTTTATTTTATTGGTGGGTGATTATATGTGTGTGTGTGTATTAGTAGTACCTGATCTTTTAATGTTAGAGTTAAAAATGTGAATCTATTTCTTAGGCATGTTCTGCATCACGATTTGAAGAACTTGAGACTGTGTAAGTATAATTTTAGCCAGCATTTTTTTTTTTAATGTTTTTTTATTTATTTCTAGGAGAGATTGAGAGACAGTGTGAACAGGGGAGGGTCAGAGAGAGAGGGAGTCACAGACTCTGAAACAGGCTCCAGGCTCTGGGCTGGCAGTCAGCACAGAGCCCGACACGGGGCTCGAACCCACGAACCGCGAGATCATGACCTAAGCGAAAGTCGGACACTTAACCGACTAAGCCATCCAGGCGCCCCTAGCCAGCATTTTAAAAGAAGAACTTCTCATTATTTTCCAGAAAGTATTTGAATATTATATTGAGTTCCTTTTAAGTCATTTCTTGTTAAATTAGGAATTACGGCCCAGAGGCAAAATAGTGGAGTCTCTGGTACAATAAAAAAGAGACCATTATGTGTACTTTCAGATACCTGGAGACTTAATCCTTTCTAAGCCCTTCAAACCCATTTTCTGACACCTTCTTAATGGTAATATAGACTGGTTTTATTTAAGGTGTTTTTTTTTTTTTTTTAAAAACAAAGTATGCAGTTATTCTAAAGACAGGTTAGATTTATTTCAAATTGAAATCATTGTAGTATTTGAAAATATAACAGCTCTGAATCAACCAGAAGATAATCTTAGTAACAGTCTTGATGAAGATGATTGAATCTTTCTAAAAAAGGTTCTTTCTAAAAAAACTTGCTTATTGAAGAGAATAGTATCTGTTATATCAGTTATGCTGTGCTGAATACAAAAATATTAAATCTGATCACCAGTCTTTATAGATATTCATGCTAAAAAATTTTTATAAAGTCTTTCTCTTAAGCTAAATCAGTCTACATTGGTGACAAAGATATCTGGACTTCATCTTTTTGACATGCTATAAAATTACTTGTAAGAGATTTTGCTTTGATGTGATGCCATCAGTCTCTTTTGATGTTTAAGAAGAGGCACTTTGAAACTGTGTCTTTAAAAGTAAGGTTTTGAGGATATTAGGTCATTGTCTTTATGAAGACAAAGGAGAGGTCTCTTGACACTAGAATTCTTATTTGTGTAATGTAGTTGTTTATCTTGGGGGCATTGTGTAGGTGCTTTTGTTTCATTTGCTAATAGAAAGCTTGGAGACACATTTCTGGCCCATTTGTAATAGGTATTTAGGTCATTAAAGTAATGTGTTTTTAGATTTATTGCTACATCACATTTTTCTTTTTTTAATAGAATTTGGTGGCAGGAGCAATTTAGGTTTACACAAAAAATGGAGGGAAAAGTACAAAGTTCCTGTATATCCCCTACCCCCATTCCATTTCTCTTATTTATTAAATCTTGCGTTAGTGTGGTATGTTTGTTAGAATTGATAAACCAGTGTTGACATGTTGTTATTTACTAAAGTCCGTAGTTTCCCTTAGGTTTCACTCTTTGTGTTGTATGCTCTGTGGGTTTTGAGAAATGTATAATGACATGCATCCATCATTACAGTATCATACAAAATAGTTTCACTGTCTAAAAATCTCTTGGGTCTACTTGTTCTTCCTTCCTTCCTCTAACCCCCAATCTTTGGCTACCACTGATCTCCATAATTACTTTCTCCAAAATTTTGCCTTTTCCAGAATGTCATATAGTTGGAATCATACAGAATGTAGCCTTTCAGAATGGATTTTTTCAGTTAGCAGTATGTATTTAAGTTTTGCTGGGGGTTTCCCCCCCGACTTTTAATCATGTTCTTCATGTGTGCTCTTTTGTCATTTTTTGTGTAGACTTATAAACATCTTGAAATTCTTTCTACATTAAGGTGGGATAAAAATAACGTTCAATTCAACAAATATTTGAGAGCATGTTTTGTACCCTCTGGCATTGGGAATCCTGAAATGGCCAAGATGGGTTCCTGCCCTGAGGAAATGAACAGATCATTTTAATAGCGTTAAGTGCTATAATTGAGGTCTGTTGCTTAGGGCGACAATTGGGATTCACTCTAGAATAGAGTAAGATTTATATCTATGTTGGGTAAGGGAGAACCAGATTAAATTATACACAGCGTCTCTTCACAAAGCCTTGAGTATATTGTAAGTTCCCAGGTCAACTAATTATGGCTTTATTTTTTTTATTTTAGATTTTTTTCTCCTAGATAAAGCCATACTTAAGAAATGTTAACTATGGAATAAATTCTAACAGTTTTATGATGTACTTTGAGTTGAGTGATTCTGGAAATAATATCTTTTAAAACAAATTTATAAGTTGGTGTAATATGGGGAGAAAGAGCTGTTAGACATTGTTTTTGCTATCTTTTTTTTTACAGATGATATTGAAGTCTGTCCTTTTTTATGTGTGTAACTGAATATAAGATCTTTGTAAAAATTCTAGGTTGAAAGAAAAGGAAAATGAAATGAAGAGAATAGAAACTATACTAAAAGAGAGGGAGAGTGATCTTTCTAGCAAAACAAAGCTGTTACAGGTGAATATATTTAATTAAAATGAATTATTTTGTGACGTGTTGTCTTTGCAGGTTTTAAACAATTTTAACTACACAAAAAATAGGATAGAGACTCTTGTTTCCCAGGCAGATACTGGGTCTCATTCCTAAGAAAACTGTCAATTATTTGTGTACCTTTTGAGAAAGTTCCCATGCATAAAATATATGTGTAGGTGTGTACTTGTTTTTTTGAATACACTATATTTAACCATACACATGTTTGTATCTGGCTTTTCTTGCTCATTTGTTTTTGAAACCTTTTTACGTAGGCACGTTTCTGTCTTCAACTTTTTTTTAATGTTTATTTTTGAGAGACGAGTGCGAGCTGGGGAGGGAGGTAGTAGCGGGGATCCAAAGAGGGCTCCGTGCTGACAGCAGAGAGCCCAGTGAGATCATGACCTAAGCGGAAGTTGGATGCTTAAGCTTCAACCGACTCAGGCACCCCTCTGTCTTCAACTTTTAATGGCTTCATGGTATTCTCTTGTATCATCATTTATATAACCAATCCTGATTTACAGATACCCAGATTATTTAGAGTTGTGTTCCATATTGGAACAGTGAATATCCTTGTACACACATTTTTAATACTTTTGCTAGTATATCTGTATTTAAAATTCCAGGATGTGAAATTTTGGGCCAGGGGTTTATGCAGTTTCTTTTTTTCTATTTGAAAGAGTTAGTTAAAATTGAAAATCTGTATATATCTCTTCATCTTCTTGTAGTTAATATTGAACGTACTTACAGAACATTGATTTGAAATGATAGCAGTTTTTAGACGTCTACATTGTCCAACTGTGCTTGCTCACATTTCATGCTCCAAGTGTTCTGTTAAATTCTGTCTCTCCCAAGTGGATTCATTTTTAATTTTGTTAGATAATGCTTAGTCGCCCTCCAAAAATGTTTTTACAGATTTATACCAATAGAGGGCCATTTCCTTTTCATCTTCTCCCAACATTGACAGAGATGAAAACATTTGATACTATGCTTGAAATATGATGGGATATTTTAATTTGCATTTGATTGTGAGAGAGGGTAAATACTCGTCATTTGTCTATTAATGGGCCTTCAGTTTTTCTTACATTTTTCCTCTAGGTCGACTTCTTCTTATCAATTTATATCATTTTTTTTTACTTAATAAGGGAAATTATTAGCCTTTTGTCATGTGAGAAGTGATTTGTTTTCTTAAAGTTTTATTTTTATTTCATTTGTATTTCCCCTCCCTTCTGGAATTTTAAAACTTTTATGTACTCAAATATAAGTAATTTCCTGAGTGTTGTCTTGTAATGAAAGGTATCTCTCATTCTGTGATCATAAAAATATTTTCACATGTTTTGATATGTTTATAATTTACTTTTTTGTTTGATGTCTTATTCATCTGTAATTTTGGTAAGTTATGAAATAACACTTCGACCTGGAAAAAAATGCTAGTCATATTATTAAATAATCCATTATACTTTACTACAGTGGTTCTGCTCCCCAGGGGATACTTAGCAATATCTGGAGACTTTGGTTGTCCCAGCAGGTGGAGAGCTGCTACTGCATATAGTGAATGGAGGCCATGGATACTGATAAGCATCCTACAGTGTACAGGATAGTCCTGTCAGCAGAGAAATAGCCAGCCCAAAATGTCACTAGAACTTGCCCTACTGATCTGAAATGTCACCGTATACTAAATTCTTACAGGTATTTGGATCTGTTTCTAGATCCTGTTTTCTTCCAGTGAGACCTGCCCAGTCCCAGATTGGTACTGAATAACTTAATTATTCTAATCTCCCACTGTGTTTTATTTATTTTTAAAACTTTTTTTTTTTGAATGTTTGTTTATTTTTGAGAGACAGAGTGTGAGCGGGAGAGGAGCAGAGAAAGAGGGAGACACAGAATCTGAAGCAGGCTCCAGGCTGTGAGCTGTCAGCACAGAGCCAATGTGGGGCTCGAACCCACAAACCGTGAGATCATGACCTGAGCTGAAGTCAGACGCTTAACCGACTGAGCCACCCAGGCGCCCCTAATCTTCCACTGTGTTTTAATATAGGGCTTATTTAAACTTTTAAAATTCTCTCTTAAAAAAATTATTATTATTTTAGAATTTTTCTGGCTTGTATGTTTCAAAAGTTTATATGCAAAATGAAAATCTCTGCACAGGTATTCATGTTTACGTTTTTTAAAAATAGGAAGTACAGGATGAAAACAGATTGTACAAATCTGAAATCGAGTACCTTAAGCAACAGAACTACCAACAGGTAGGTCCTGTTAGATGGCTTGCCTTTCATTTATGTAGTAAAAAGTTACATAATCCATGACTGTCTATAAGTGTTCTTACCATTATGCATTTTTATGGAGAATAAAATATGTTGTTTATATATCAAACTTATTTAAAAAATTTTGCTATGCCATATCCACAATAATATAGAATTTATAAGGTATACACAAATAATATTACTATCAATATTTCAGCTCTGTTACATACCTGTGTGTGTTTTCATATCCTCCAGAATGCTCTTCTTAGCAAGTCAGTTGAAATTCTATAATGGTTAAATGTGGGTGTATACCGTTTTCCCTTTCTCCCAGTAAAAATACAAGTAATTGGAGAGAAACTGGGAAATGTGTAATATTATCAGTGATAGTTTACCACTTTTTAAAATGCTTTTTCAGGTATAATTCTGCCTGGTAACAAATAAAATGGAAATATGTTTTTTTTTTTTTTTTTAAAGATGTTACCAACATAGCCTTTTAATTATTTTCTGAATGTATATAAACTAGAAAGTATTATGAAGGAGAAAAGAATTTGTCCCTCTTAAGCAAGGAGGTTATAGTATAGTAGTTCAGTTTGAAAGATTATAATCATTAAGGAATGATTATACCCTGTGTTGTGTACTTTTACAGAGTATGCAAAATTAACTTTCTGTTATGCAAGTTAACTTTTCTTAGTTTTTCTTTTCACTTCATTTATGTTATTTTGACTTTTAGAAGCTTAATATAGTCCAACATGAACTGTAAAGGAGGAAAATTTAATGTGTTAACTCAGTGCTTTGCACATGGGAGGAAGTTGATAAATACTTGTTAAGTGAAGAATTTAAGTATGTAGTGACAGTGAAGATTTGATTTAGTACTCAGTACATTTTATAAATGTGTACATATTTTAAAATTACTTGGTGACAGGCATACAGAATATATAGTATTTTTACCTTTGTTGCCTTAAATTATGTCTGAGAAGAGTTTAATTTTTTGTAGTCTTCTAGAAAGCTTTGCTTTGAAATAACATTTAACTCTTTTAATAGGCATCATCTTTTCCCCCACATGAAGAACTATTAAAAGTGTAAGTAATAATTTTGATTCACATTTGGGGAAGTGGGAATGGTTTTTTTTGCCAAACAGTTCTCAGATAACCAATTTAATCTAACTAAATGACACCTAATTTTTCTAATTCTATTTGGATTTCTTGAACCTGCAGATCACTAGAGTTTAGCTGTGCCCTTGACTGAGCTGATGTACCTTTTTATGGTGTTGAGAGTTTAGTTGAGGGAGAGTTTGAGGTTTTTAGGCACTCAGAAAACATCTTAATATAGTTAAACTGTATTTTTAAGGCTTTATTTACCTTACATTATTTCAGTTATCTTCCTGAATCATTGTGGAATTGGATGATGCAAATTTAAGTTTCTGCTTCTGCATTTTATTTTATTTAAAATTTTTTTTTAAATGTTTATTTTTGAGAGAGTGAGAGCAGTGGAGGGGCAGAGAGAGAGAGAGGGACAGAGGATCCGAAGCAGGCTCTGTGCTGACAGTAGAGAACTCAGGAACCATGAGATCGTGACCTTAGAGGAAGTTGGATGCTTAATCCACTGAGCCATCCAGGAGCCTCACTGCTTCTACATTTAAAATAAAAATTTCATCATCTTTATGGTTGCTATCTTTTAAGGGGACTTTTTTTTACTGAAGCATTTTTTTTTTCATTGTTGACTTGTATTTTTCTCTCAGAGGGTACATTTAAGGTTATTTCAGCTAACTTGGTATGTTTGAACATGCTAGATGTTAATCACCTTAAGTGAGTGTATTAGGTGATGTTCTTCCATCTTGAATCGTTTACAAGGTTGTTGGCTTACTGGTTTAGAATTATTTACTGTTAAATTGAGCCTGGTGTTTGACTATATATAGCAAAGTCAGCAAACTTTTTCTGTAAATGGCCTGTAGTGAAGATTTTAGTCTTTGTGGGCAACAGAGTTCTGTTTTGTATTTTTCTTCTTCTCCTTTTTTTTTTTTTAACAGTTCTTTAAAAACGTAAAATCAATTGGTCAAAGAAAGACTGTAGATTAGACCCAAGGCCCTAATTTGCTAACCCTTTGTATAGAGCCTTATTCTTAAGAGCTATTTGTAATTTAGCTTATATCCAAGCTGCTGTCAACTGTAACAGAATTGAATTGTGAATCTTTGCCATTGCTTTCTGCATTTCTGGGAATTAACTAATGCATTAGAACTAGAAAACCTGAATCCTGATAATGTTATAAAAATAATGACACCTACTTTACATTAATATCATACTTTGGTTGTGGGTTAGCCATTTAAAGAAAGTCATAACAGATTTCATTACCTTTTGGAAAAAATATTTAAGGGAATGCTTCTACATCGGTTTTCGCTCTTCTGAAAATAGCCACTTCACTGCAAAAGATAAAAATAGAAACAACTTTAACTGCAGCAGTTCATATATTCATGAACTATTTCTTAAGGGGATGATGTCTCTTTAGCACAAGTATCAGCATGTCATACTGTAAAAGTCATTTAAAAAAAATTTTTTTTAATGTTTGTTTTATTTTTGAGACACAGAGAGACAGAGCTTGAGCAGGGGAAGGGCAAAGTGAGAGGGAATCACAGAATCTGAAGCATGCTCCAGGCTCTGAGCTGTCAGCACAGAGCCCGACATGGGGCTTGAACTCACAGACCGCGAGATCATGACCTAAGCCGAAGTCGGCTGCCCAACCAACTGAGCCACCCAGGCGCCCCATGTAAAAGTCATTTTTGAAAATAAGAATGCATCAGGAATAGATTTTCCATAGTGACAATTAATAGTTAAGTTTAAAAGAGTTTGGCTGTTAAGCATCATGTACTTGCTGTTTTTATTTTGTAGTGATAAATATCATGTTCACCACCTAAACTGTTGCTATGTGTATTTATATTTTGGTTTAGAATTTCAGAAAGAGAGAAAGAAATAACTGGTCTTCAGAATGAGTTAGATTCTTTGAAGGAGGCTGTTGAACACCAAAGGAAGAAAAACAATGTAAGCAAGTCTTGTCAAAATAAAACTTTCCTTTTTATTAATTTACTAAAATATCATGCTTCAGAATTTTACTTCTAATGTAGGTTTTTTTCTTAATCTTTGTAAGAGAGCCCTGTTTTGTGTGTACCTTATTTGGTGGTAGTATTAGAGTACTCATTTTATTAGAGAACAGATATTTTAATGAATAAATGAAAAGTCTAATTTGTACACTTCTGATTATAATTTTAAATATTGAAACTATATTACAGCTTTAGATTTTAATTTTATTAAAATACAATTGACTTTTGGTTGAACTTTTATTTGAAAAAATTCTTTCATCTCAATATTTTTAAATCAATTCTATTTCCTTTTAATTTGACTAGGCTAGCCTTTTTGTAAACTAAAAGTAACCCAGTATTGAAACTCAATATTTTCAGTAATTATGTCTTTCAGAGCCTTCTGGAACCTCCCCCCCACCCTTTTGTTTTTTAATTAACTGAGAGGTGGTTCAAATTTTGGTAACTAAGCATGTTAGAGGCCTCAGAACCTGATTACATTTACAGCATAATGGGAAGGGAAAGTACCTAAGAAATAATAAATCTTAATACTTTTACTGAATAGACAAAAGTTAATTTAGGTGATTTTTAAAAAATTCTCTCTGACCAGGAGGTGACACCTGTAAGTAGAATCCAAACATTTCTTGCTAGAGAAGGAATTTTTGCACACGAAAGTATGCTTGCTAAGACTTAAGCATCGTTAAAAATGTTACTGAATCTCTAAGGGGATGTTGATGGGACATTGGTATGTGTTTTCCAATGAAAGTTTAATTTTCCAGAGTTTGCATTAATTTGTTAATTTAACATTAGTTGACATGTACTTGCACCCCAGAGTTTGTCAAAATTAGGTATGTGAATTGCCCTTTGTGTGTCTGTGTAACTTTACTAACAGCATTGCTTGCCACAAAACCAATATATTTGAATTTACCAATATATTGTTAACATCTTAACTGTGTTTTATTATCCGGATTCTGAGATAGGGAGGACATAGTAATCCCAGTGTAATGCAGCAGCATCGCTGCAGGCATGGAGGTGTGTGAGAAGTGCCCGGGCGCTGGAGGCCAGCAGATTGCAGCGTCAGTCCATTCCAGCTCAGCCACTTCACTGGCTGTGTGCACTGGGCCAGATTTTTTAAATTACCCAGGTGTGGTTTCCCCATCTATAAATTGTTGTGAGGATTAATGAGACTTTACGTGAAGCACCAAGTTCAGTGTTGGGCACATAAGTAAGCAATCAGTAAATGGTGATTATTGATTTTTTGTTTTTAGTCTAATGTGTAGATTTCTTAATCTGAAGAAAGACTGAACTATAGCAGATTGTATGTACTTGTATTTGCTAATGAAATGCTGTTAAAGATCTTTCAGAGCTCTGTTTCCATTTACTTCTGTGTTTCTCTTCCAAGAGAATGTGATTTTACAGCTTTCTAGCCTCCCCATTTTCAGCCTCGATCCAGTAGCTCATACATTCATGTCAGGTTGCTTTGTGGCATACACGTGTGCAAGTGCAGTGATTGTGTTATTCCTGGGTCGACTCAACATGCTTTAATTTGATAAAACTTATTTACAGGGGAAAATGTTATGCTGCAGTGCAAAGTCCAAGTGATAACGGGCCTTGTTTAAAAGCCACAATGTAAAGCTTTTTGCAATACTCCTGTATTTTCTGTCCTTAATACCCTAATATTTGATGTACCTGAAATCATTTTATCTTGGTTTGTGTGTTTACTTTTGAATGCTTTCTCTTTGTCACACATACACAGTAATTACTCTATTGCTGGCATATTTGGTGTGTATACTAAAACATGGGAAGTGGGCATCTTTATTTTCTCATTCAGACTTCTAAACATTGCTTTTTATTTTTTTGCTAATATACATATTTCCCATTGAAATAATTTTGCAGTAACCAGCATTTAAATGCAGTGCAAAATACTGATGAAGTAAAAAGCAAAAATCTTTCAATCATGGATAAACTGAAATCATTCTTTCTAAAAATGATTAGGACCTTCGGGAGAAAAACTGGGAAGCAATGGAAGCATTGGCATCAACTGAAAAAATGCTGCAGGACAAAGTGAACAAGACTTCCAAGGTTGTAATGCTAACTCCTAGAAGCAATCCACTGAACAGAGAAAATCTGCAGCTTGTCTTAAAATCAGACTAAAGCATTTAATTTTACTGCAATTTAAATATAAAATCTCCTTATCATCCACATTATCATCTCTGTCATCTCTGCTTTTTTTCATCTTTTCTTCGAAGCTTTAATTTGGGGCATGCGGTTTGTTGTGATTACCTGATTGAGCTTTGGTGATTACTGCTTTAAGCTGTAGAGTCTCAGGAGACCTATGCTGCCGTGTAAGCTCTTGTCACTTGGGGGATGCCTCTGTCACTCTGTATGCCTCGGGGGATGGTTAAGAGCTTCGGAAAAACCCCTGACTCCCCAAAATCTAACTGAATTAACAAACACATTTGAATACATAGATGTATACGAACTCTCCTGGGTTCTTTGGGGTACACCAAGAGGGCTCACACAAGGTAGAAAATGATCAAAATATTAAGTACACGGAAGGGATCAATTCTGGCTGGGTTGTTCCTTAGAATGGACAAAATTAAAATTAAACTTTAGATTTTTGAAGTGGCTGGACAGTAATGAGGCATGTGCTATGTATAGTATGGAATATTAATAGAAGGGATAATTCTCTTGACCAGAGTATACAAAGTACTCCTGAAACATACAGCTCCCTCTGTCTTCAAAACAATAAAGGATAGTCTTCCTGAGTTTAAGTTCTTGCATGGTTTCAAAGGTTCTAACGAAATATAATTGAGAAGAGTTGTTTTCGAGATTGAGATGAATGTGCTAGTTCAGTCAGGCATTTTGAAAATTCCTACCAAGAATAAATGTGGAACAGGAGTATGAATTTTGTAGACGGGTTAATAAAGTTACTTATGTGATTTAATTCAGCATTCTGTAAGTATTTTGTGGACTGAGGTAATCTGTTGAATTTTAAATGTAGGTCTTAATGACATTTGAAGGACTTTTTTAAAAGCAGAATATTTTTTTATTATATTTTTTTATCAAGTATGTTTGTTATTATTTTTCCTGTAGTTTAGTAGATTTGTAGTTCTGTACCTACCCACCTGGGCTTAATTTTCACTAAAACCTAAATCTGAGACAGCTGGCAGACTCTGGGGACTAGAGAAATCTAGGTCAGGGAAAAGAATAATCCCGGCTAAGTAGGACATTGTTTTTTTGAGAGTGGTTGCAGTCAGTTCCATTATTGGTGGGGTGTTCTAGTGTAGTTTCTGGTTGTTTCTCTTTACTTTCTTTTTCAATGTTAACACCTGCCTTTTAGCTTTTATTTTGTTAATGAAACTGGGTTTCTGGGAACTACTAATTACTTAATCTGCCATTCCTGCAAGAAATTATGGGCCACTGTCAAAGGTATTCTTGTATATTGTTTATAAAAGAACTAGAATTTATCCATGTTTCATCATGTGATTGGTGAGGAGTATAAAACTTTACCCTTGTTTAAAAACTTAGCACCAAGTGCACTATGCCTTCTTACAGAGCCAGTGTTCTACAAAGAATAGAATTTACAGTCTTTCTTGATGTTAATGGAATTTAGACTGTTTTTGGATAGTCTAGGTATAAAATGATATTGATTGACACAGAACCACAAGTTAGGCTGGAAAGAGAAAGAACTATGTAGAATTCCTTTAGTGTTATAAATGATACAAATAAATAATAATAAGCGTATCTAAAATGTAGGAGAGGATGATATACTGCTTTTTCAGGATTATCTTTAAAGTGGTAGGTATTCTTGAGGAGCTACTATCAATGATAAGTTCACATGAAAGATACTTCATATATATTAAACTTAGATAAACATAGCAATTTTCAGTATAAGATCTTTTCAAGATATTAAAGTAGAATGGAAATTGCTGTCTGCAACAAACTACTGTATCATTTGAAAACGTTTTAGCAAAATTAGTACAGATCAAAAGTAACTTCTCATTTTTTTTGCCTCTTGTTTTAAATTAGACACTTCTTTCTTTTACTTCGATTATTTTTCCCTTGGAAAGCTTTCTAAAAAACTTCTGTTTCATAGTGCCTCTTGTTTTTCTTCAGTGATTGTTCTACCACTTCTGTGGTCAGATGATAAAAATGACCTCTTTATTGGGAACTAAGTTAATTCTGAATTAGCAGTTAATAAATTTTCTTTGAATGTATCTTATGCAGTTAGATGGGTGTATTTCTGAAAAATAGTGAACTTTATTGAATCATTGAAAGTAATTTCATTAAAACATCTAGTAAAATCCTGCCACTCATCTTGAATAAAGTTTTTTTTGTGTGTGCAGAGAATATGATTAATCTGTAGCTTTTTATTATATAATTTTAGATTTTCCTGTTAGATTTTCTAAATTGATGTGATGTCTCTTAAATCAGTAATGGATTTAAAGGTCGCATTTAAAATGGTGTCAGAAAGATGGGGTTGAGATGTTAGCTTGCTTGCCTTCTTGTCACCTCTTGAACTTCATAAATGTTTTTTCTTGGCTTGGTTTAGATCTGCATTTTTATAGATGTCATTTTTAAAAAGTCTGTGGAGGTAGTTTGATTATAGGAGTTTTATTTTGCTTGTGATCAAGTCCTTACCCTAATTTTGACAAACCATGGTTTTGAGTTAATAATTGATATCCATTGTACTTGGTTTTAAAATCACCAAATTTAGACATGCATTTGTAATACCTTTAAATTTACAGCCGACAGAGTCCCTGCAAGTGTCAGGATTAGTCTTCTTGATGTTTGGTATTGGTGAATTAATTGCCATCGGTTTTTCCTCTTTCCTCTTTTTCCCATATGTACCACCCATTAAATTTTGACAGCCTTTTTTTCTTTGTTTAGCATAAGTAACTTCATTTGACCCTGAAGCTGGAAATGTGAGAATTGCCATTTTAATCCTATTGTTATAGTCCATCAGTAATGCATTTTTTTGGTAGAGATTTGCCAGACAAAGCCTCACTTAATATTGCTTGATGCATTTTTTTTTTTGCATGTAGTTTAAGTTGTAGCTATAGGAAGTGATTTTTTAAATAACATGTAGCTTAAAGTTGTAGCTATAGGAAGTTTATTTTTTGTTTTATTTTTGGTTTTTTTGTTTTTTGAATTGTTTCTAGAGGGGCAAATCACTTGATTTCTAATGGCAAGGAAAATGTCCATATTATCAGATACTGTGTTGGCTTGATTAATATAAGACATGGTTATTTAGGATGCTTTAGAGATTTTGCAGATTTTTTCTTATGGAAGCATTTTAATATTTTAAAAAGAGAAATTTTAACTTTTACCAGTATTAAGATGAATTTTTAAAATACTGTGACTTTTTCCTCCCTTAGAACTTAAAAGACTAACTTTTTTTTCTAATTCCGTAATCTTGTAAGTTTGAGTTGGTTCATCTTCTGCTTTAGGAAAGACAACAACATGTGGAAGCTGTTGAATTAGAAGCTAAAGAAGTTCTCAAAAAATTATTTCCAAAGGTGTCTGTTCCTCCTAATTTGGTAAGATTGATTTATTATTTCTTTACACATGTCATCTTTATCATTATTCAAGGAAGTTGTAATAAGCATTGAGCACTTGGTTCACAAGTATATCTGTTCTTAATCAATCTTTCTGAGTAGTAGGTAAGATATATAAGTTGGTTCAAAACTCATTTTTCCTTATACAACTGATACTTTTGTTGTATGCTACAAAATTCACATAATATATAATATAATTTACATGATATATAAATACAATTTATATAGTATATAATATATATGTATTATATAATACAATTTTATATTATACATAATATAATATACTACATTATATAATATGTGCATATATACATATATTGTATATGTATATTCTATATTATACATATAATATGTATTATATATATTACATAATATATATTCCCAAACATATTGGGGAAAGAAAAATTTCTTAATGGTTACTAAATTAGTAATGTTTTTAATATATCCAAAATAGAGCTTAACTTTAAATAATTGTTTCATAGTTTTAGGAACATTTTATTCTTTTAATTAAATGCGTTTAATACTTTGAGGCTTTTTTTTTCTTTTCAAAACTCAATATCTGTTCATTTCTTTAAGCAAAAGTCTTGAAGGTAATACAGAACAGCTTGCTTTACTTGAGGTTAAATGAGAGAGAAAAGTTGCTTTGATTTCAGAATTATTACAGTGAATATCTGAGGACAGAGAAAATCAGTGAGCGTGCATGTAATTTCATAAAATGGCATTGTAGGTATTTTTTAAAAATTTTGTTTTACTCCCCTATGACCCAGCAATAGCACTGCTAGGAATTTACCCAAGGGATACAGAAATCCTGAGGCAAAGGAGCACATGTACCCCAATGTTCATAGCAGCACTCTCCACAATAGCTAAAACATGGAAAGAGCCCAAGTGTCCATCAACAGATGAATGGATCAAGAAGATGTGGTTTCTCTGTACCATGGAATACTACATGGCAATGAGAAACAATGAAACCTGGCCATGTGTAGCAACATGGATGGACCTTGAGGGTGTTATTCTGAGCGAAATAAGTCAGGCAGAGAAGGACAAATACCATATGTTTGCACGTATAGGAGGGTTAGGAGGAACTTGACGGAGGAACAAGGGGGAGAAGAAGGGGGGAAATGGTGGGGGAAAGGGAGAGAGGCAAACCATGAGAGACTCTTGAATGCTGACAAAAACTGAGGACTGATGGATGTGGGGGGGAGGAGGGGATGGGCATGGAGGAAGGCACTTGTGGGGATGAGCACTGAGTGTTATGTGGAAACTAATTTGACAATAAACTATTTGTAAAAAAAAAAAATTTTTTTTTGTTTTAATGGAAAATTATATACACACTCAAAAGTAGAATAGTATAATGAGCCTGATGTACCCTCCCCATACATCAATACATAGTCTTGTTTTACCTCCTTTCCTATACTTCCTAGATTATTTTGAAAGAAATCAAACACCAGAGCATTTCATCTGTAGGTATTTTAGTGTTTATTTCTAAAAGATAAAGATTCCTTTTAAAAAATTACATGGAAAAATCCTTAATTTCATACATTTTGTCAATACATTTCTCCATGTTCTATAAATTTTTAATTTTAATGAAATCACCACTTTAGTGTTTTTTTTTTTAATTTTTTTTTAATATCTATTTATTGTTGAGAGACCTAGAATGAGAGGGACCGAGCATGAGCAGAGTAGGGGCAGAGAGAGAGGGAGACACAGAATCTGAAGCAGGCTCGAGGCTCTGAGCTGTCAGCACAGAGCCCATCCACAAGGCTCAAACTCAGAACCTTGAGATCAGGACCTAAACTGAAGTTGGACACTTTACCAACTGAGCCACCCAGGCGCCCCACCACTTACTTTAGTTTATTTTAATCAGGACCTAAGTAAGGTCAATATGTAATTGGTTTAAGATGTCTCTTAGATTTTTTTTTTAATTCCATGGATCCCCTCCTGTATGTCAGCAACACCCCTTCTCTCTCTCTCTCTCTCTCTCTCTTTTTTTTTTTTTAAACGTAGTGGTTTCATATGAAGTTTCCCAGTCTGGATTTAGCTGACTCCACCCCTGTAGTGTTCTGTTCTCTGTCCTTTGTATATCTCCTAAATTGCAAGTCAGTAGAGGCCTGATTAGACTCAGGCTCAATACTTTGGATGTAGGATGGAGTAGGGCAATACTTCCTTCATGGGCAGTGTTGTGCACTTCTGTCATGAGGTCTATAATGTCTGTCTGTCTTCGGCTCATTGGAACTTATTTAGGCTGTCTACCAAATCCTTTTGATACAGTACTGCTAAACTTTCATAGCTTCTTTGCTTTTGTTGTATTTCTGATTCGTCATATACATTTTCTACCTCAAACTTGAAATCATCTTTTTCTCCAAGGAACTCTTGGCTCCTATGGGCACTAGGTGTGGTATAAATAAACTTAATGGCCTGTTCTGTGTGTAGTTTGAGTTTAGCTGTTGCTCTCAGATTATATCTACATACAGTCTAAGTATAACCTATATGAGAAGGAAAAGTTCTTTTATTTCTTTGTAACTCTTGGAGGATATATTCAGGATTGATCAGTTTGATCTCTACCACTATGGGTTCAACTGATGAGATAACTTGCACTGGACAGGCATACGGATACTTTGTCAGTTCCAGTGCTGGTCTTAGATTGAACCTAGAAGAAGGGGTTGTTATTCATCTATTTTATATTTTTTCTTTTGGGCCATAACCTGTTTTTATTTATTTCATTACTTAATGGAAATAATATTTGGGGATTTATTTGATAGCGTTTTTAGGAGCCAAGAGAGTTAATGATTTAAAATATCTATTTTTTTATTTAATTTTTTTAATGTTTGCTTTTGAGAGAGAGAAGGAGACAGTGAGCAGGGAAGGAGCAGAGAGAGAATGAGACACAGAATCCAAAGGAGGCTGCAGGCTCTCAGTTATCAGCACAGAGTTCAATGTGGGCTCAAAACCACAAACTGCAAGATTGTGACCTGAGCTGAAATCAGACACTTAACTGACTGAGCCACCCAGACACCCCTTATAATATCTATTCTTGAAAGATTGTATAAGATCACCAGCATTAAAAATCCTTTTTTATGTAACAGATTTATTCTTAGCAGCAGTAATACCCACCCTCAACTGCCAAATGTTTTTGATACTATAAATATTTATAAATCACCATTAGACATGGATGATGATATTTGGCTTTTGTCTATCCACATGTTAAAAGTTGAGTATTTCTGCATGTAGTCTCTGTTTGAAAAATATATTTACTATACCACTTAGAGTGTAATGTTTTAGGTTTTTAAAGATAGGAAGGGTAGGATAATTAATAAAGCAGCATTAAATTTTTTAAAAAATTTTTATATTATTCATTTTTGAGAGACAGAGACAGAGGGTAAGCAGGGGAAAGGCAGGGAGAGAGGAAGACACAGAATCCGAAGCGAGGTCCAGGCTCTGAACTGTTAGCACAGAGCCCGACATGGGGCTTGAACTTACAAACCTCGAGATCGTGACTTGAGCCGAAGTCAGATGCTCAACCGACTGAGCCATCCAGGCACCCCAAAGCGACATAATTTAAATTTAATCTTAAATTAGTATAGTCAGATATAAAAGGACTTTTATATTTGAAGTATAATACTTGAACTGTTTTCATTTGCTTTTGTGCTAAGCAAATCGGTATATGAGAGAGCTAAAGTATATGACCTAGAGGAATGTTTACAAACTTTAAGCAACTACTAAATCAGCTTTCTGACTAACTTTTATTGAATTCTGGTATTTGAAGCTAAGTAGGCTTTTAATAGTATACATTTTGTCTTGGATCAAATTTACAGCATAAGACTGTAAATTTTTTTAAATAGGCTTTTTTGAATAATTATTTATACTGTGGGGTATGGTACTGTGGGTGTAATCTCAGCATCCAGTTTTCATTATTTTTTTAAATTATTTGATACAGTGTAGAGAATCCTGATTCAGCATATAAATAATGCTTGATGTTAGAGCAGTTAATAGGAATTTCATGTGTGTTCTTTTTTCTTGGAGTTAATTAAACCAAGGACTTTAAATCAAATTTTCTCTTATTCCTCTTTTAGATATTTGTTAACAAATACTCTTTATCAGAGTTTAAAATTTGGATAAGAAGCATCAAAAAATGTAGCATAATTTATTCTAAAATTTAGAATAATGACTGAAATCAAAATATTTGCCTGGGTTTGCATCCATTTAACCTATCAGCACAAATATCAGTTTTTGTTGGTTTTAAACAAGTAAATATTTGTGTATTCTTATCAGTTTGCCTTATGGTTTTAGAAACACTTCATAATACATATTTATTTTGAAGTATTTTCAAAATCCCTGGAGCACCTTCATGGAGTTTGAAATCCTCTGAATCGAGTATTTTCCATTGAACGTTCATTTTGTGAACTCAGAATACTTTGTCTTTGAGAACTGGTTTACCTAAAAGTTTTGAAAGTTCTTTATTTTAGGTTTTCTCTTTTAAAGATTGAATCTGTTAGTCCTGGCACTAGTAAGTAGTTGAGGCTGGAATTAAGTGAGCCCAGGTTTCTATCGAGAAGTCCTGAATTCAGTTGCAGATAACCTTGTTCAAGGTAAATAAGATTTGATTTTGATTGTAGTACCTAGGTATATTTTTAGTGTTCTAGGTTAGGTACAGTTTACACAGAAGCTTATTTTTCTTTGAAGTTACCAAAGAGGTAGTTTCTTTCATAGTCCTCTAATTTGGTTATTTCATTTAGATAGTTTTGGAAATTGGTTATTTTTACTTCTTTTTTACAGAGTTATAGTGAATGGCTGCATGGATTTGAAAAGAAGGCAAAAGAAAGTGTTGCTGAAACTTCAAGTTCAGAGGAGGTTAAGGTTAGTTCAAGAAATGAAGTATCTCTGTTTTAACCAGGCATGCAAAAAAGAAATAAATCTAAATTTATCTTTATGAGCTTGGGAAGATAAGGTATATATTATGAGTAGAATAATGACCTTTTGGAAAGTGTAAGAAAGTGATTTCATTTTGTATAAAATTTTGGGTAGAAATGCCACAATTCTTCATTGCATTTGATACAAATACAAAGCTGATGTTTGTTTTTTTAACTCTGTATCATAATCATTTCTAAAACTGTATATTTAACTATCTCTTACTCTCTTTTTAGCCTGGGTTTAAAAAGTAAAGATCAGTTGAGGTAGGTAGGTAGAAACTGACTGGTTTGCTAAAGTATCCCCAATTACATCATTAAGAGTGTTCAGAATCTAGATGTGTTTTTATCTTTGCTAATATTTGGAAGATTTTTTGTATCTCAAGTGACATGAATAAAATCCTCTTTTCCATGTGTGTGTAGCATAGGTGTTGTGACTTGACTTCGTTTGTGGGTCTGCTTTGATTTTACCATCCTGTTAAAGAGCAATAAGCCTATTTATTATAAAATTGTGTAATATATTTGATAGTAATCAGACTCAGGGAGTTTTATTAGTGAAGACTGAATGACCATAAAGGTCATGGAACTTTATTTTTACTTAAGAAGGTTGAAAGGTAGTGTTTCACTATAAAACAGTTAGAAACCATTTGTTATAATATACCATTAAATACTGCAACAAGTTTGAAGCACACAGTTTCTTGGTAAAACTAGAGAATTTTTCTTTATTTTATTCTTTGTAGGTTCTAGAGCACAAGTTGAAAGAAGCTGATGAAATGCATACATTGTTACAGCTCGAGTGTGAAAAATATAAATCCGTCCTTGCAGAAACAGTAGGAAATGATTTTTAATATATATTTTGGTTTATTTTTAAATTATTATTCCTTAGACACTTAAATAATTTATCTTACCATTAGAACATTAATTTTTCAAAACAACTGTTCTTTTGCTCATAGGAAGGAATTTTACAGAAGCTACAGAGAAGTGTGGAGCAAGAAGAAAATAAATGGAAAATTAAGGTCGATGAATCACAGAAGACTATTAAACAGGTATTTGAAAAAGAAAAGGATAGAGCAGTAGTTCTCAAGAGTGTAAGCCCTGGTTTAGTAGCATCAGCGTAACCTGGAAACTGGTTAGAAATGCTTATTCTTGGCCCCACCTGAGGTTTTCTGAATCTGAAACTCTGGGGACAGCATCCCCACATGGATTCTAATGCCCACTCAAATCTGAGAATAACTGATTTAGTGTATGATCAAACAGTAGTGATAGAGAATATAAAGTGCTTTGAACATAAGGCAAAGTATTTGGGGTTCAAAATAAGCTTTATAGCGTTGATATGTGATCCATGATACAGTATTAAAGAGAAACTTCTTCTGTTCATTTGATTTGAATGTTACTGTGCAGCCTAATTTTAATGCCATTTACTTGGCCGTGGTAAAGGGTGTCGTCTCTGTGGTAGTCATCTTTGTATGGTGACAGATGATAACTAGACTTTGGGGACCATTTTGTAATGTATGAAAGCACTGAATCACTATAATGTACACCTGAAACTAACAGGATATTTTATGTCAATTATACTTTTAAAAAAATATAAAATAATCACTTGTTTTCCTGTGTCAACATGTGTAAAATCTGGGGTTGCCAGTGGTATTCTGTGTTAATGCATTTGGGGATTAAATTCAGCCAGTTATTAGTTGATTGTTTAAGAAAAAAATTCAGCACTTTCCGTTAGGCCTTAAAATAGTATCATGCAAATGGAGTAGGTTTTGACTACAGTTTAAATCAAATGTCACACTCTCATTTTTAAGGTCTTTTAAAATTCAGTATGGCTTTAAATGAGATATATTTCAAAACCTCTGGAGTGTCTGCTTAAAATTCTACAAGGTTCACTTGGTCATATAATTGTTTCCCACATTTCAGATGCAGTTGTCATTCACATCTTCAGAACAAGAGCTAGAGCGATTAAGAAGAGAAAATAAAGATATTGAAAATGTATGTTATTTCATCACTTGACTTGTAACCTGTGGACTTATTTTTAGGATTAAGGGTTGTCTTAAGATCTATGTTTTAAGATTTCTTTAATGATGCAGTTGTTACACTTTTAAGAATATCTAGGGTAGCGTTTAAGGTGAATAAGTGTTATGTTCATGTCATAACTTTTCGTTGTGGGGGAGCATCATGAAAGGAGATCTTAACTGTGTTAACTTTTCCTTCTTTGTTGTATTGCCAGCTGAGAAGAGAGCGAGAGCATTTGGAAATGGAACTAGAGAAGGCCGAACTTGAGCGATCTACCTACGTTACAGAAGTTAGAGAGGTACTTAACCATACAACTTTTTCTACCTTGCTCCTCAATTTAAATGAAGTTTATAGCATTGACAGTATTTTTGTAGAAGTTGTTTGTGGCAGAACTTCCAAGTAGCATACAAAACATGGGATATCATAAGGAGATCAATCTTAAACTCTAAACTTCATTGCAGCTGAAAGATCTGTTGACTGAATTGCAGAAAAAACTTGATGATTCATATTCTGAAGCAGTAAGACAGAATGAAGAGCTTAATTTGGTAAGAAGCTTGTTCTCCACTGAGTATCAAGTAGGCTCTGAAAACACTTGTGTTGATATGTGGAGAAGGCATCCAGACTTTTTCTCCTTGCTAACCTCTTGAGCTTGGCATTTTTGTAAGTTTAAGATAATCCTCATATTCTGATGACTTCCTAAGATGATCTTTCTTTACTTTACTCCCAAGATGACCCTTCTTTTCTTAGCTCCTAACAGTAGCATGTTTGGCTTGCAACTCTTTTCCAGAAAAATTTCTGTGTTTTATAAAACCTGTTTCTTGGACAGCTATTTTCAGTGAATAAAGAAGTGGCTCAGACAGCTAAATATTGTGTGAATTGTGAAGATTCTCTTCTCAGTTACCATGCTTAACTGGACCTCTTATTTTCTGACCTGGAAGGAGATTATTAAGGTTGAAGATACATATTCTTCATTCAAGGGCAATAATTCATTCCAGCTCCTTATTTTAACTGGTCTTTCTATAGATTGTAGATAACAAAAATCTTGTGAAATTATTTATTGTTAATATAACTTTTAGAGCATAGTAATTCTAAGTCCATAGACTTAAAGATAACTAAGGTTAGCTAAATGCCTTATAAAGACATAGAGTACCCTGTATTTTCACTCTTAAATTTTCTGGAAATTTACACTGATTGTGACAAGCTTAGTTGCTAGATAAATAGGATGATCTCATTGTATTTTTCAAACAATCATGTCTTTCTGTGACTTAAAAATTGTTATAGCACATGACTAAAGTACTTGGATAAACTCTAGGAAGATTTTAAGTTTCCCCCTAGCCCGAGTTAACCTTGCACAGTTTGGAACTTTCTTATACTGCTGTGTATATCAAAGAAAACTTCCTAACTCACTTATTTGGTTGGTCTTCGGTGATGTAGCAGTGATTTATGGGAATGAGTTTTTAAGTAGGCCTCTTTGAAATGTACACATATGAGCCTTCCCCACCCCCCTTTAGTTTTGAAATAAAATTTTGGTTTTTCACTTATCTTCATTTTATTTTAATTAAGGCATTTCCACTGCAGTGTGTGACTAGTTGTATACGTACGCTTACTGTATATTGCATAGATCAGGATTGTGATTATGTCATAGCTACAAGCAATAAGCCCTACCCTAGAATGTGTTCTTAAAAAATGTTAACTACAGTTGTTGGAGATTTTACTTAAAAAAAAATTTAAGTTTATTTATTTTTGACAGAGAACGAGCAAGGGAGGGGCGGAGAGAGCGCGACAGAGGATCTCAAACAGGCTCTGTGCTGACAGCAGAGAACCCAGTGTGGGTTCATGACCTGTGAGATCATGACCTGAGCTGAAGTCGGAAGCTCAACCGACTGAACCACCCAGGCGCCCCAAGATTTTACTTTTAACTTTGGCCCTTGGTAGCTGACTCCCCGACAGAGTGGCATCGAGCCCATAGGATTATAGTTGAGTCGTCATTTGGCCTGATATTCTCTTTGTAGTTTTTGCCTCTCTACTTCTGTTAAGAGGCCATTTTAAAAGGTGTTTGTTTCTTATTTTTGCCTTGAATCTTTATTTTAGTCTTTATTTGCTCAGGATAACTATTGCCACATTTTAAGATAAAATAGTTTTGTTTGCCTGTACATACTTTGCCATGTACTAAATTAGAGTTAAGTAAAGGAGCAAAAACTGAAGCATTTGGGACTCAAACAGAGTTCCCAAAATAAAATATCCACATGCAGTATCCCTCACATTCTCTCTCCAGTTTGAAAGGTTAGGATCTGTTTCCCCTTTTTGGGTCTCCAGGAACTATTTGGAAATTTAGGCCTATGGGTGCCAGGCAAAATCAGTTAACCCGATGAGTTTAATAAGAAAGTTATTTTTTTGTTAGTATGGTCCCTTTCCCTTATTCATATTTAACTGGAACATTTATCATGAGAAAAGGCATTATAGGCACTAGAATTTATAGAACTTTACAACTGTTTTAACAAAGTGGTTATTGAGACATATATCTTAAGACATTTCTTATTGTATAATTAGGCCTTTGTGGTCTTGCACTGATCTCTTTAGTGATGTTTCAAAGGATTATCAACATTTAAATTTCTAAGTTTTTTCATATTACTGTATTTGTAATCTTATGTTCAATGTCTTAAAATATTACACAATTGACTTTTAACTGGAGAGGTCAAAGCAAGCCTTAAAAAACAAATTAGTAAAATTTCTGACTGCTTGCCTTTTAATTTGAAACAATTTAATTGTGAACGAAGTTCCTTATGAATAGTGAATAGTAATACTTTTAAAAGGCACTTACCTGGAATGTGATGGTTTTGATTTTACGTTTACAGTTTTCTATTCTAAACTCTAGTTTGTTTCTATAGTGTTTCTTATATTTAGCTTTACAGATGGAAACCTCCACTGCTTAACTTTTCTATACATCTGGTGCAGCATATTGGCTAATCCACTGTGCATAATAACTGTTAGCGATCCCATTCTTTCTCATTCATTCTTCTGGAGGTCTCAGCACAATTAAATTTAATCAAATTAAATTAATTGTGGTGTTGCTTTATTTTTACAGTTAAAGGCACAGTTAAATGAAACACTCACAAAGCTTAGAACTGAACAAAGTGAAAGACAGAAAGTAGCTGGTGACTTGCATAAGGTAAGATGCTGCTTGTCCTGAAGATGCCATATCATCATACTTTTTGTGCTTTGAATCATAAGCAAACACACTGCTAATTGTAGATTTTTTGGTGCATATTAATGTGTTTATAAATTTAAGCTGTTTTACAGTTAAATTTTTGGAATTAAAAGTTTTGGTTTGTTTTTCCATTATTTGCCTCATTATTTAAATACATTTATGTAAGTAATTGCTTTATAAAGCATAGATAAAGTTTTACATTTGATTGAAGGTACTCTTTTCTAAAAATTTGGTTACATCCAAATTTATAGTTTTGTTGAGATTTGCTTATGTAGTAGCTTACAAAGTATATTTCTTTAGATTTTTATGGATCTAAAAGATATATAGACCTCTGATGTTTCAGAAATTTGTGCTTTTGTTTTTTTGAGAAAATACACTTTCTTTGTCTCATATATATAAATGAGCAGTTTTTAAGATTACATTTCTTAGTTTTTTATAATTATTAGTTATTTGTTATTAGTTATTTATAATTGTTTTTGGATATTTTCAATAATGCAGTTTATATATGCTTAGAGCTGCTTTAGAGCTCTGATTGTGTTTGTGGGAGTCATTAGCAAAACAAATATGTCAGTTTTTTAAAAGTTGAAAGAAATATTTTCACTGTATGATATAGCTTAAAATTGTTATGTAGAAGTCTAGGAATCTATAAAGAGTAAATTTAGCATGATAAAAAACACAATCACAGAATTCAGAATAGCTTTAAGTTATTTTGGTGTTAGTGTTACCAGAACATAAAAGGTGAGCTCAAGATTCTTGTATCAGAGCTCAAACTTAGATACGTGATGCATCAAGGATGAGCAATCATGTAATTTTAATATTTAACCTTGATCAAAATCTAAAACATGCAGTTTTAGCCTAGCAGTTTGGTTTCTCAGATATTAAGGATATTAAACAGGTGCTCAAAGATAAAAGGATGTGTGCCATTACTTATAACAGAAATACTGTGCAACATTTGATTAGAAATGCATCTAAATATTTATAGATATAAAAAGTTAACAAAATACTTTGTGAAACAAGCAAGTATAAAACAGCATGTATGTTAAAACCCCATTTATATGAAATTTTCTGCCCAAATTTTCTATTAGCACAAGATGTATGCAAGAGGGATCTGGACACAAGAGGGCAAACCCACTAACTATTTTAGGATTTGTGGGGCATATATGGTTTCTCTCACATATTCTTTTTTGCTGGTGTGCTTATTAACACAATGCTTTAAAACTGTAAAAACCACTCTTAGTTTGTGAGCTATAAAAAAAAAAACGGCTGTGTCCAGAATTTGCTGACGCCTGATCTAGGCTATCAACTGTGGTTATTTCTTTTTTTAAATTTCTTTATACATTTTCTCTATTGTTTGAACTTTTTCAAACAATAAGCAGTGAGCATGTGTTTTTATAATCTGGTCAGGGAAGAAGCTGTTTTCATTTCAGAGAGAAAAACAATAGATTGGCTGTACATTGTGTTTTGACAGGAGCTTTAATCTTGTACAGAATATGTAAGAAAATTACTTGGTTTTTTTCTCATATATGTTTATCAATTGTAGTGTTTGGAGGCTACCATATTGTTTTCCTTACAGGCTCAACAATCATTGGATCTTATCCAGTCAAAAATAGTAAAAGCTGCTGGAGACACTACTGTTATTGAGAATAGTGATGTTTCCCCAGAAACGGTATGCATTTTCTTTAACCCCGCATGTCTAGGCTAATTACCTTGCAAATCACGTGAAGAAGAAAAAGTGTGCAAGATCCATCTCTGACCTAAAAAGTGTCTTTGTAATGTATATCCGTCAGTTAGGTTGAATTCTTATGCAGGTCATCTTTTCTTTGAGATATTTTATTTCTGAAATGCAGTGTTTTTATTGTTTGTTTTCACTTTAGCTTAATAAGGTATTGTGTTCATTTTAATGTTTGTGTTCCAAGTATTATGGTATCCTGCCTAAGAGTGTGGACTTGGTTAGACTGCCTGGGCTTGAATCCTGACCCTGCTGCTTAGTAGCTGTGTGATTTTGGACAACTTTCCTTAACCTCTCTCTGCTTTGCCCAATCTGTGAAAGGCAGTGACAATAGCACCAATTTTGTAGGATTATTGAAGGGAATAAATGAGTTACTATATAAAACACTTAGAATAGTCCGTAATACTTCCAACAACAGTGCCTAGCTCAGTATCTGTGAACTTACTTTTACTGTTAGGAATGCACTCTCCTTTGGTGTATGGCAAACTCTTTTCTGAAAAGAGAATGGATTTATAACTGATACCCAAGGCCTAGATTGTTGCCTTTGTTGGCCTAGTGACATTTATTACCTAGGCTTCTTTGGTGCAATCGTATTTGCACCCCTAGGTAGCAAACAATATTTTTAAAAGTTTTTAATATTTGCTTATTTTTGAGAGAGACAGAGAGTGAGTGGGGGGAGGGACAGAGAGAGGGAAACACAGAATCCAAAGCAGCCTCCAGGCTCTGAGCTGTCAGCGCAGAGCTGGATGCTGGGCTTGAACTCACAAACCGTGAGATCGTGACCTGAGCTGGTTGGATGCTTAACTGACTGAGCCACCCAGGTGCGTTGCACACACTATTTCTTTATATGGTTTTTGTCATTGTTGATTTTCATGTGATTTTCAGTATTTTTCATGTTTGTATTTAAACCCACAATAAAATATTTTCTCTTTTGGTTGCAAATGACTTTTCCTTATTCTGGAGTTTTTCATCACTTTCCCTTTCTCTTTAGGAGTCTTCTGAGAAGGAGACAATGTCTGTAAGTCTAAATCAGACTGTAACACAGTTACAGCAGCTGCTTCAGGCAGTAAACCAACAGCTCACAAAGGAGAAGGAACACTACTAGGCATTAGGTAAGGATAACTGAAGTGTCATTGTCTGGGTTCTTGACACTGTGTATGTGAATGTGTATACAGTGTATGCTTGCCAGGCGTACAGAAGCTCTTGTTGCCCTAGTGAAGTGTTCACCCTTTCTCTCTGCACCTCCGGATGATAGCTTTAGCTTTCTTGGAGCATTATTTCCATCTCTTACATATTTTGGTCTTGTGGCTTGGAGGGGCCAAATCCTTTTATTTTTGCCACCTTTGACCTTCTTATAAAACAGACTCTCATAACTTGTTTACCTAGGTCTTATTCATTGCATAATATGTGCAACTGTTTCTTTGAGATTTTTTTTAATGACATGGTAAAATAAAATGTAATGTTTTTACTGAGGTAAGATGCTGAATTGAAAATAAAATCACAATTTCTTTAAATTGGAAACTGAGTTTTATTTATGTGTGCTTATAAGGTAAAGAAATTTCTTTTTAAAAAAATGTTTTTTTTTTTTTTTTTTTTTTTTAGAGAGAGCGAGAGAGAGACAGTGTGAGTGGAGGAAGGGCAGAGAGAGGGAGACACAGAATCTGAAGCAGATTCCAGGCTGTGAGCTGTCAGCACAGAGCCTGATGCAGGGCTCGAACCCACAAACCATGAGATCATGACCTGAGCTGAAGTCAGACTTTTAAGTGACTGAGCCACCCAGGAGCCCCAAGAAATCCCAGTTTTAACTCCTGAAGTGAGAGTGTTAGTTGAAGTTAAATAAACCTATCATTAACCTAACCATGGTATGAAATTTTATTGCCCTCAGGATAGGCTAGGTGTCCTGGAAAAGTTGATTGGATCACATTTTGTTTACAGGGGCATTCTGTCTCACTTTTATAGAACAATTATCTTCTGACCTGCGTTAGCGTAAAATCTCCTTTAAAATGCTATTTCAGGTCAGTTACCTCTAAAAGACTTTGTAGATAAACGCAGCTCATTCTTTTAACCTGCCAGCAAAAATAATTATACCTTAATCTTTTATCCTTGGTAAGCTGATCTCTCCATTGGTATAGTTAAACTTCTGGCACATTATCCCCCTTCTCCAAATTGGAAAACAACCTGCATCTGGTTTCACTGGGAAACTCTTTCTTCCATGTCTTCAGCCGTATTCTCTTCACTGCACATGCTCCTTCTGTTTGGTCCTGAAAACCTGTTCTGATGCCTTATTTTAACCTTGTACTTCCTTCAGGTTACCACCTTAATTTTTTTGTCTGTTTAACAAATTCTTAAACTGTTCTCACAGTATGCACTAATTTACTTGCTGTTAACAGCTTCCTCTAGTCTAGAATACCATTCCAGTGAAAGCTTTTTTGCTGGGGTCATTAGAGATTTCCTAATTGCTAGATCTAATATAGGCATTTCTTTTAATACTCAAAGTATAAGAGAGTAGAGTAGTTTTCAGTATAAGATACTGAAAATAGTTATGAAATATGCTAAATATGCTGGAGTCAGTCCATAGGCCTTTGTGTGATAAGGAAAGGGCTTCATTTCTGAGAGCCTAAAAAATTCCAAGATTACTTATTATCCCTGGCCTTTCAGCCTTGTCAGTAGTATCTCTCCATCATCTCAGAGGTGTTCTTTAATATTTCCTTTTCTTCCCAAACACACAGTTTGCTCATAGTAAGTCTTGTAAACCTGTTACCACATTGGTCTTCATCATAGGAAATTTCAGACTTAACACTGATTGTTGGTAGTATAACACTTTTATTTTTCAGATTTGTTTTCTCTGATGTATGAAATTGTAACTTCTTAAATATGTATATCCTGGCAGTACAACTAAAACAGTTGTAGTTTGGCAGGCAGCTCCCCTGAGTGCTAACTCTTGTCAGCCAATGAACAGAAGTCCAGGTTTGGCAAGTGAAAGGGTGGTTGAGCATCAGCAGTGCATTGTGAAGGATAGGATGGATTGTATGAAGATCGCAGTCCACCAGGCACTTGAGAGCTCTTTCTTCTATAGCTTCTGCCCAGATTATTACCCATTGACAGTAATAACAGTTCCCTACACATCCCTTGGTTCCCACAGCTCTTCTTCGTGCCCTTTAACTGTTTATGTTACCATCAGGGTTTTAACTTCAGCCATCAGTTTTGCTCAGTGTTTTCTCTCTCTCGTGAACTCTCTTAAAACTAGTACCTATGATGAGAAAAAACCCCAAACTACTACCTGATGATTAAATTGGAAATATCATGAAAATGTAGATAATAAATTAATATCTGATGTCAGGAAAATTACTTCTTTTTAGTATATACCACAAGTATATATGAATTGTTTAAAATAATGCTGTACAATTTTGAAAAGGGAAAGATAGTTTTTAAAAGACAAAAATGAAAGGGATGATGATATGTAGTAATTTAGTTTTCTAAATCCTAATATATGTTACTTAGCATTTCTGTGAACTGGAGAGGTAGATGTATTGATCTTCTATCCTTAATTTGTAAACCCTTAAGCTTTATTTGGAACTCTTCCTCCTCTCCCTCCTTACCCTTTCCCTCCACCAAATAGATTTATCATTTCTTCTTTTCTTTTTATGAATTGAGATAATTTTTTTTAGCTTTGGACTAGCTACACTAGTATTTTATAGTATACTTTTTTTGGTTACCTATTTATCTTTCAGATATCTATTTTTCCCTATGTATCATATTTGCCTGGCTTCTTGGTATTCAAAATGTATATCTGACCATATCAGAAGATTTTATTACTTCAAAATCTTAGTCTGTTTGGCTCTATAACAAAAATCTCATAGACTGGGGGGCTTGAACAACATTTATTTTTGTTGGTTCTGGAAGCTGCAGAGTCCAAGATCAAGGTGCCAGTAGATTCTGTGTCTGGTGAGAACCTCCTGGCTTAAAGACGGTCATCTTCCCACTGTGTCCTTGCATGGCAGAAGGGGCAAGGGAACTCTCTTGGATCCCTTTTAGGCGGACACTGATCCCATTCATGATGGTAGAGTCTTCCAAAGGCCCCACTTCCAAATGCCATTGCATTGGGAGAATCTCATCATATAAATTTTTGGGAGACAAACATTCAGACATAACATTCAGGTCTTCTTACCTTGGAACCAGTATGTGGAATCCTGGGGAGGGAGGAGGATGATTTTAACAGCAGTCACTTTATGAGTGTGCTTCTAAGCAAGAACAGGCTTCCGACATGTGGTCATTCATCTTGACAACAACCTAGGATGGTAGATAGGTGGTGGTGGTATTATTATTATTATTTATTCCTGTTTTACAACAGACCCAGAGATGTTCCTATGATTTGCCCAAGGTCATGCAACAATTAGTAACTGGGTGAGCTGGGATTTAAGTCAAGGTAGTCTCTGCCTAGCACCTACACTCTTAATCAGTACTTTTCTTCTCCTTTAATGCACCTATTCTGTGCTCTGACCCCTTTTGTTGCTGCTTTCTTTTCTCTTCATTCTGGCTAATCCTTAGTTGCCAGCCTCTTCTCACTTGTGTAGTCAATTCTGACTTTTCCCTAAAGTTGGTGTTTGGTTTGTCAGTTATGAATTGGAGAGGCTCTAGATGTTACCAGAAAAAATTGAGGTGAAGTTTTGTGTGTGTGTTTTGTATGTACGTGCTTTCCCTACTCTTGTGTGACAAATAGATTTTTTTAATGATATAGTCGTCTCTTGTTTCTGAAAGAAAGGTGTTTTTTATAGCAGCATTGAAGCATAAGGGCTAGTGTTCCAGATAAAAGCTAGCATTTATTTCTTTGCCTTACACTTGGCTATCACAGTGCTCAGGTTTTCATTTTCTGTGGTATGTTTTATTAGTGCCTGTACCAGTGAGCTAGGTAGACTTTCTTATCCCCTCTTAATCTTGGTTTTGATGAGACAACATGATAGCCAGTGAGAACTTTGCTTTTTAACTTTCTAATTCTTTTCCCCTTAAACTTTTTATTTTGGAGAAAGCACACACATAAAGAAGAGCTGAGGGACGCTTGGGTGGCTCAGTCAGTTAAGTGTCCCGCTCTTGATTTTGGCTCAGGTCATGATCTTACACATTGTGAGTGTGAGTCCCGCATCAGGACTCTGTGCTGACAGTGTGGAGCCTCCTTGGGATTCTATCTCTTCTTCTCTCTCCTTGTCCCCTGCTCACTCTCTCTCTCTCTCTCAGAATAAATAAACAAACTTAAAAAGAAAAGCTGAAAGAATGGTGCAACACTCCTTTACCTGCTTCATCTCTATGCATATACATGTGTTTTGTTGGTGTCACACCATTTGAAAGTAATTTACAGATAATCATGATATTTTATCCTAAAACACTTCAGTATGTATCTCTGAAGAACAGAGTCATTCTCTTATAAATCCATAGTGGTACCATTATCACATCCAAAAAAACCCCCCCAAAAACAAAACCTGGTAGTTCTATAAAATCATCCAGTATTAAACCCAAATTCAAATTTTCTCAGTTTTATCTCAGATGTCTTTTTAGCTATTTTTCCCAAACCAGTCAGAATTTTACATGTTGCATTTGGGTTAAGTCCTTTTAACTTTTTAAAGTTTTACTTCTAGTCATTTTATCTGACTTGGAAACCTTCACATGACCTCAGAAAATCTCTGCCTGAAACTTTGTTCATTCATGGGAGAGAGTTGTAAATTTCAGTGCTACTCACCTTATTAGCTTTATATTTTCTTGAGTAGAACTAATAAAAATGGATTCCTGGTGCTGTTCTTTTAAATGTTTCCTAATAGTACTTTCAAATCTTTACATCATTCTCAGTATGGCCTGAGGTTTTCACTCCTATATTTTTATTTATTTATTTACTTTATTTTTTTTCACTCCTTTATTTTTAAATCCACCTCATAAGCTTCTGAATCCTGAGATTTTTTTTCCTTGTTTTTGATTACCATTAGTGTGTCGTTTTGATCCTAGTTGAAAGAGCAGGCTAGCTCAAATAGAGTATATATTTTTGGTCTTTGACAAATGTCTTCTGATTGCCTTTTGTTGCTTGTATTAAAATGAATTTCTTTCTTTCTGATCTTTTACAGATTGAAGTAACTGGGAAGCTGTTTATTCAAGGATAACAGAAGGCATTGTATTATATTTTGCCAAATTAAAGCCTTATTTATGTTTTCACCCTTTCTACTTTGTCAGAAACACTGAACAGAGTTTTGTCTTTTCTAATCCTTGTTAGACTACTGATTTAAAGAGAGAAAAAAAAGCCAACTCTGTAGACACCTTCAGAGTTTAGTTTTATAATAAAAACTGTTTGAATAATTAGACCTTTACATTCCTGAAGATAAAATAAACATGTAATCTTTTATCTTATTTTGCTCAATAAAATTGTTCAGAAGATCAAAAGTGGTAAAGACAATATAAAATTTAACATTTTAATACTGATGTTGTACACTGTTTTACTTAATATTTTGGGGAGTAACTGCCTCTGACTTCAAGAAAACACTTTTTTGTTGCTAATGTAATCCGTTTTTTGTAATGGCGTCAGCAAATAAAGGGATGCTTATTATTCAAACTTGCTCTAATTTTGATTGTACTTTAACAGATCTCATTAGTACTACAGATCGACATAATTTAGAACACAGTTATTAATTTCAGCTTTTGGACAGGTAAGATAGGTATTGTTGTTCATGCACCTTCTCTAAGGGAAGCCCTGGGCTTCTCTGTGATTGTGGTGTAAACTGTGTGCTACCAGAGCTGTGCGTGGGAAGGACAGGACGCAAGAATACAGCCTCCAAACTCACCACTGCAGCTTCAAGCTCTCCTTTTATACTTACTGTTACTTTCTTAACTAATAATAATTAACTTTTTAAGTTTCCTCCTTGTGAGGCACATGTTACATGGTTTCCATGTATTATTTTTTGTTGAAGTAAGTTTTAATTATTTAAATAATTTTATGAAAACACTGGACCCTGTGGATACTAAATAACCATTGAAAGATCTCTTTTGCCGTTGAGGGTTTTTTTGTTTGGTTTTGTGTGTGTGTGTGTGTGGGGGGGGTGGTTGTTTTTGTTTTTTGTTTTTTTGCCACTGAGTATTAAAGTGCCTGTCAGGCTGTACTGTGGCCTCCTTGCTATTTCAGTAACGCTTCTACTTAAAACTCTCTTCTCTTGGATATCTGTCTTGGCTTGCTTCTTCATCTTCAAATCTGTGTGAACATCACCTTTTCATCAGGTCTTTCTTGACCATCCAGTATCCCCCTTGCCTCCGAGTCCACCTACCTACTTTTGTCTATAATGTTTATAAGCTCCAACATATACTTGGTCACACCTCTTTCTCTCAACAGAAAGTAGCTCCATGAGGACAGGAATCTTCTCCTCTTTGCTCTTTCCCCTGTCCTGGAAAAGTGCCTGGCACTTATTTATGCTCAGGTATTGAAATGAATGAATGGATGAAATTTATTTTTATAGTTTGAGGATGATCTAAAGTGGTGCCTCCTAACCTTTTCAGATCATGCCATGCACACCAAATAATATTTCTAAATTATGTAGAAATAAACTGGAGAGGTTGTTCATGGCCAGTGATGACTGTCCTGAGGATTTGAACTACCCTAGACCTTACCTAGCTGCTTTCAGCAAACCCCTGGAAAAGTGATCTGAGGACCAGATACCATATCATCATCATCATCATCATCATCATCATCATCATCATCATCATCACCATCTCTCTCTCTCTCTCTCTCTCTCTCTCTCTCTCTCTGTCTTCCCTCTACTATTGTCTGTAAAGATAGCTATGTCTCTGCCATCTGAAAAAACAAACAAATTACATCTTCTTACAACCTCTTGCTCCTCTCCTTTCAGAGCTTAATTCCTCTGAAGAAGTGTGTAATTGTACTATTTTTCAACTCCTCATATATTTTAATTTTGAAAAAATAATTACAAGAGACTAAGAATTCAGTCCAATTTTTTATTTATTTGTAACCCCTCCCTCAACATCCCAAGCAAATATGCATTCATCTTTTTGCACCTGAAGTGGCAGGAAGTTCACAACATTGCCTATTTATGATTTGGGGCAGTTTTGTAATTGTCTCTTCTATCTTCCACTGTCCACCTTTACCCATTGTGTTACAAGCAGATCGCCCAGAAAAAGAGTCCTGTGTCCTCCGTCTCTAGTGACTCCCCTTGCCACTATTGCAGCAAGTTGAGGCGGGAAGCCCTAAGAAAATTACTTGGGTTGAGGAGAGCCACAGGGAGGGGAGAATGCTCACTGCCCCATGTGAACAAAAGCATGCATGGTAAAAAAAATCCATTTAAGGAGCAAGGTAAACTCAGGGATTTTAGTGTACCAGTGTACTGTAAAGCTCACTGATTGGGTTTCAGACTCCACGTTGCAATTAATCTTTAAGAAAGTACAACACGTAGAGTTTTGCTAATATGTCAGAGAAATATCCACGGTGTCTGAAATGACTGCTCTGTTTTCCAGTGACCTGTCTGTGCGAGGCCAGATTTTCTTCGTATGCTTCAGCCCAAACAGCATACCACAACAGACTGCATGCAGAAGCAGGTGTCTTGTATTAAGCCAGGTAGTAAAGAAATTTGCAAGCATGTAATGCCAGTCTTCTCACTACATCGTTTTTGTTGGTTGATTTTGGAAAATGAGGTTACTGTTCACAAAAAAGCGTGTTCATTACGTTGCTATTTTAAAATAAGAAATAAACACCTACGTTTTTCTTGGTTTCAATTTTTACTATGTTGAATATTACAGAAGTACCAAAAACAAAAAGCTTTTGAAAGTCTAAAGGATTCCCAAGACCAAACACCTTAGATCTCCTAGTCTTTAGCATGTTGTTTTTTCCAACACTTTTTAATTGTACTGGGCAATTCTATCAGCACTTTCTGGTTGTATTTTGTTTTATATTTAATCCATTTATTAAAAATGATAAAAACATTTTCAGTCTTTTTACTTTTTTTGGCGTATTTTGTGCAGTGCCAACTTCTTGTTTTTAAAATTTGTTTTCAGTTCTTCTTGTTTTCTAATTCATTTTAGATTGTAAGTTCTATGTTACTACTTTGTACCCTACAGATTTTTATATTTAGGGATTTTGTTGTCTTTTAGTCCTTAATTTTAAAAAATCATAAATATTTCAGACATACAGGAAATCATGGGGAAAAACTGTATATCCCCTCAACATAAAACATTAACACTTTGTTCTATTTGCATTTAAAAAAAATAGGGTATGGTTTAACTATCTTATACCCCTTCCTGGTGCCATTTCTCTTCCTCTCCAATGGTAGCCAAAGGTGATGTTTATCATTTAATTTCACATTGTTATACAATTAACACCAAAGTATCCAGAAACAATATGTTTCGCATGTTTTTAAATTTTATATAAATTATTCTGTTGGCTTTACTTGTTCAATACCAGCTTTAAAATATATACATGGAGTTTTGCTTCATTTTTAATTATAGATATGCCACAATTTATTTGTATATTCCTCTAAGGGACATTTAAAATACCACCAATTTATGAAAATTTTGTCTAACTTTTGATTTCCTTTATGGCAAGAGATTTTTTTTTTCTGAGTGTGTGTGTTTCACATCCTAGATTTTTAAAGTATCGTTTCCTAATATTACATTTGGGTCTGTGAACATGACGTATTATGACACAAATTTCCTGTATTTGTGAAGACTTCAGAAGAAAGAAAAACTAAACCAAAAAAAAATTGGTTTAGAGTAAAAGAGGTTATCAGCAAGAATGTTAAGCTTTGGCAGGAAATGATTTCATTATGTGAAGTCATTTGAAATCTCAAATAACTTTCAGGCTCATTCTTCTACTCTTCAGTTAGAAAATGAGAAAGCATTGGGTAATATTTATTTTTTGGTGATATCAGGAACACAGGAAACAGAGTCAAAGAGGTGGGGGAAGGTCTTATTTACATTTACATTTATGCATTCTCTTGGTATGAAGAATCAAGAAATTACGAGTTTTTCACCTAAGAGCAGGTTCTCCCTGAACTATTCAGTAGAGGTCTTGGGGGCCATTCATTGCCAAAATACAAAGTTTCTTTTTTTCTGCTCAGTGTAGTATTCATTTCAAGATCTCTAAAATACGGTATTCTAATCCCTAGACTGTATAGTTGTGGGAAATGGAAATTCACTTTTGTTGATGAATTGTGTTGATTTGTGCAAGCTTTTCAGCCCTGGGCATCTAGGTTTTTTCCTTGCTAGCTGTGCAAATAATAAAAAGATATAGCTCTAGTAAATTCTAACCAAAATACAATAATGTATTTTCTTCAATTGCTTTGTTGCCAATGGCCAATATTTATAAATATTTTAAGCAACTGAAAAGAATGAATATTTTTAAAAATCTTTTTATTTCTATTATTATTTTTTTAGAGAGAGGGAGAGAATCCCAAGCAGGCTCCGTAAAGTAAACGCTCAGTAAAGAGCCTGATGTAGGCCCCCCCCCCATAACCCTGTTATCGTGACATGAACCAAAATCAGGAGTAGGACGCCCAACCGACAGAGCCACCAGGTGCCCCAAGAATGGATATTTTCTGTTTGTTAAATTCAAATACAAATTTTCTGTTTGTTAAATTGTTAAGTGATACATTCCTACCACGTTTCTGGTTTATTCTTAGATGGGGCTGAAGAATTTGCAATTTAAAGAGTTCCATGCAATGCTGATATGGGTTTGGTAACAACACTTTGAAAATCATGCATTATGGTTTTTAATTTACAGGTTCTTGGCAAATGACAGTTCTCATTTTCAAACATTGCTAAGTATTTACTAATTATTTTTATATCATTTCTATAATTTCTACACATTTGGGGAGGGGGAAAGAGATTGCATCGTGTCAGTCTACTATTTGGAAAACAATTTTCCCAAAGCCTAAAAAAGGTAAAGTGCTCATTGGTGGTTTTCTTGGTGTTCTTGGTGTTTCTTGAAATTTCCTGGTTATGCCACACAAGTAATATTTTCTTTTTTAAAAACAAGTTTACCTTAAACCTTTTTCCTGTTTGGTGAATTTCTTTATCCCCCTATTCCAATCCTGAATATACATGAATGTTATTCTCCCTGTGACTAATGATAGAATTTTTATCTCCTTCGGAATAATCAGTTGGAATAAATTTTTTTTCTCACTCTTGATACCAAGGACATGATTATGCAACCAACAATGTGAGGCAGTATAGAAACTCAGGTATAGGGGCGCCTGGGTGGCTTAGTCGGTTAAGTGTCCGACTTTCGCTTAGGTCATGATCTCGTGGTTCGTGGGTTCGAGCCCCGCGTCAGGCTCTGTGCTGACTGCCGGCTCAGAGCCTGGAGCCTGTTTCAGAGTCTGTGACTCCCTCTCTCTCTGACCCTCCCCTGCTCACGCTGTCTTTCTCTCTCTGTCTCTCTCCTAGAAATAAATAAAACATTAAAAAAAAATTTTTTTTAATTAAAAAAAAAAAAACTCAGGTATAAGGATTCTTAAAAAAAATCTTTGCTTTGATATCCTTTGGGGACAGTCTGTACAGACTTTGTTTTTTGTCAGGTGAACGTGTCCAGTCAGATGGAACAGGTTTTTCTAACTTTTTGACTGTAACTTGACATCTATTCTGAATAAACTAATTTCATTTCCTACCCACACTTATGTAGAAGATACAGAACTGTCTCATATGTGCTGAGCAGCTGGTTTTAATTCTGTCAGTAGCCTTAACGGACAATTGGCCGTGAGCTCTATTCACTCTCAGAATGGTTTAGGATTGAGTATGAATTACTTCCCTGCCTTAGAATATATCCCACTCAACACTCTCGAATAGACACTTAACTTAGTATATATAACACAACTTTCAACTGGATTATGGCTGACCGCCGCTATAAAGCAAGTAATTAACCATTCATTTGGCATTCTGTTAATGATATTACAAAAATAATGGCGATCATAATAATTACAATTACTGAATGCCATTTTCCAGGTACCATGCTAAGTGTTTTAGGTTCATATTTCATTTTGCCACCAATTTACTTTTTGAAGGTTACCTAGATAGATATACTGCTTTGGGAGTATATTCTTTGTAGTCTTTCTAGAGTTTTCCAGTGCCTAAGTTGGGTTTGGTAACTCAAGGACTAGACTTTTTAGAAGCCAAGGGGAAAGGATTATCTTCTAGAGCCTCCAGAAGGAACTCAGCCCTGCCAACATCTTGAATTTATACCAATGGGACCCATGTGGGACATCTGACCTCTAGGACAAGAAAATTATCTTGTGTGTTTTAAGCCACTAGATGTATGGTAATCTGTTACAGCAGCATTAGGAAATGAATACAACCACTCCTGGCCCTGATTTTCTGTCCTCTGCATCCTAGATAGATGGCCCTGCTCATGCAGAGACTATAGACCAGCTTTGGCCCAGGGCCACCCAGTGGACTTCTGTGTCATCACTGGGCTACAACAACACCTTCTGTGATGCTTGAACTCCAGCCCTTCCCTCCCAGCTGTCCTTTAATATATATTTTCCCTCAGTCCCAAGGTGGTTTTTAGAGTTGTTTTTACTGTTATAGGTCATCCTCCAGCATAATGAATAATTCTTTATATCAAACTTGACCTGTTCAGATTTTGTGGGGTTTTGTCTCCTGATTCAACCTTAACTGATAGACCCACCAAATCCTCTCCTAGATTCTCATCCTCACACTGCCATGTGCTTTCTCACCACTGACCCATTCTCTCTTGTTTTGTTCTTACCTCAGCCTTTCTACTTCTCCCTTGGCGAAGAGATCCCCCTCATCCATTCTTTAAAAAAAAAAAAAAAAAAAATTCCTGCCTTGAATCTCATGCTACCTAGAAATATTGCCTCTCCTCTTTGCTTTCAACCATATATCTCTGAGTCACTCATCCCCATTTGTTAAAAGCTGGCATCCACTCTATGGCTTCTTTCCAGTACAAGCTCCACAACTATCACTAGTGATTTGGACTTCTACATGGATCCCCCTGCTCAGCAGTCTAAGCTCACAGTTTCTCGACCTTGACTCCTATAGAGTTTATGATGGCTGCTATAACAAATTACCACAAACTCAGCGTTTTAAAGCAATACACACCCTCACAGATCCAGAGGCTGGAAGTCCAAAATCTCTTTCACTGGACTAAAGGTGTCAGCAGGATTGGTTCCTTCTGTAGGCTCTTGAGGAGAATCTGTTCCCTTGCTTTTTCTGGCTTGGAGGCCTCCCGCATTCCTTGGCTGGGGAGCAGCCCTTGCTTCATCATTCCTTCATCATTCGCTTGCTCCTGCCATTGCATCTAATTCCTCCTCTTCTTGCCTTCCTCTGATAGGAACCCTTACGATTATATTGAAGACCCACCTGGATCATCCAGGATAATCTTCTTATCTCAAAATACTTAACCACAGCTGCAAGCCCCCATTGCCATGTAACGTACAGGTTCTGGGGGTTTGGATGTGGCTGTCTTTGGGTAGGAGGCGTTATTCAAACTACTGCAACTCTTTCACACCTGTAACCACACCTTGAACCTTGTAATTATTTTCCAATATAGTATCTTCTGATACAATGTCACATCATTCTAAATGCCCCTGTTCCTGTCATTTGCCCTCATGGAGGCTTGAGCCCCTTGACAACCTTTTAAAAAAAAGTCATAATGCCTATTCATTTTATCCCTTGCTCATCTGCAGCTCTTCTGTGATGTATTAAGTTCTGTTACCCCCTTGTTCCTCAGACATGCCTGGCAGAGAGCCCCAAATCTGTATAAGATATTAAAGTGGAAGCTTACATGTGAAGTGGGGTGAGGTTCTGAAATATGCAGGACTGGAAATGGAATATGGGGGGAAAGGATGCTGCTGCTCTGAATTCCCACATCCACACTGATGGCATAAAAGGGTTCAAAGTCAGAAATGAGAAGGGAATTTTTCAGAGATAGCTTTTATTGTGCAGTGAGTTCCACCTCCACCAAGGGGGAGAAATAGGTGCTAGGTGGGGAGAATCTCTCATCTCCAGTCAAAAGGGAAGGCTGTCAATGGGACCATCTCGAGAATTTGTAATGTATCCACTACATTTGGAAAACAGAGTGGACTGGTGAATGATTCGTGGAAAATCCAAAGGCCAAAGGGTGGTCACTTTGATAGTAGGTTAGGGGATAGTTGGCTATGCTGGATGACCTGTGTTACCCAAATTTTTCGGAATGAGAGATACGTGGTTACCTGTTGTGGACCAGGCAGAGGACACAGGAGGGAGAAAGCCAATGGGATTGTATTGGATTCTGGTCGGAAGGACCATCTGGAGGAGGAAGAGACCTCAGCAGACAAAAACCAAAGGTACCAGTCGAGTCAGTGCTTGGAGGACAGCTATGCAGAACCATACTGTGTGGGAGAGAAATAATTTAACTTTAGCCACTGGGGCTTATTTGTTGCCACAGCATGTTACAGCCATTTAGTGTGGTCCCACATAGAGCACAGTCATTTACCCCAGAGTCGTAGTGAGGAAAGTGAGATGCCACGTGTGCAGTGCCTGGCACATGTTGGGCCCTGGGTAGAGTTAATCTTCCTCCCTCCCATGGTGAACTAGATGAGCCTCATATGGCAAACACTTGCAAGAGACTGGCACGTGCGCTGAAGTAGGTGGCAGGGGAACTGGGCCCTTATTGCCAGGAAGCCAATTTAGATCCTTTGAACACCATCTCTCAGCCTAATTTATTGGTTTGTCTTTGTAATTTTGGTTCCAGCATTGGGATTATCTACAGATCTCAACAGAAAGTAGCTTCTTGGTGTTGGGCTATATCAACATTAAGCCCATTCCTTTTTGGCTTCACTTCTAGGGTGTTTTTTTTGTTTACTTGCTTGTTTGCTTTTTTGGCTAGGAATAAAGGCACTTCCCTATAAATATAGGTATGCTACAAAATGTTTATGGCAGATGTATGGCTTTTATTCATTCACTAAGTTTTTATTTTAAGTCTTCCAGAAGTCAAGCAGAAGGTCTGGAGCTGGGACACAGCAGAGAACAAGAGACATGGTGGTGTCTTCGCAGAACTCGGGGTTACGAATCATGGAAACTCCAGTGGGAGGGCCACTGAGCCAGGGCAGGGCTGGTTCCTAGGAGACACAACGTCCAAATTTAGGTCTGAAGTGAGAGGCACAAAGAAGGGAACGTAGGGTGGGGAGTGGTGGAGTGGAGGAGCTGGTGGAGCAGGAGGTACAGGGGATAGTGATGGATAATGTTAGGTGTGTTTCCACCTTCATCTAAATAATTCTCTCCTATGCTTGAGCAGGTACATGATAATGACAAGATGATTCTGTACATAAAGTTTTAGAGCATTTCTGAATGAGAACCAGCACATTTATCATGATGCTCATTTATGGATTGTGAGTTAGGAATCAAGACTCAGCTTAAACATATCTTAGTCTGTTTGGGCTCCTATAACAAAATGCCATGCTAATAAAACAGAAATTTATTACTCACAGTTCTGGAGATTGGAAGTCTGAGACCAGGATGCCAGCATGGTGGAGTGAGGGCTGGCTTCCAGGTTGTAGATTTCTCATTCTCTCCCCACATGGTGGGAGGAGTAAGGGAGCTCTCTGGGGATCTTTCATAAGGGCACTAATCCCATTCATGAGTGCTCCTTCCTCATAACCTAGTCACCTCCAAAGATCCCACCTCCTAATACCATCCCCTGGGGGTGAGATTTCAACATACGAATTTTGGGAGGTTACATTCAGACCATAGCAAGCATGATACCTGCCTTGAAACTTTCCTGACCACGAGTGGCCTGTCCCCCCAGCAGCCACACCCAACCTTTTTCTCCTTTGCTGCCTCCCACTATAGAAGCTGAAAAGCCAAATACTTTTCCAGCTTCTTTTTCACGTAAGGGTGGTGGTGTAAGCCAGACCTGGGCCTGGAACCCTAAGTAGAAGTCTATAGGAGGGGCTTCTGGAAAAGCAAAATCTCTCTTGATTGGAAAAGAAGAAAAGGAAAGAGTACATGAACTGATCTACCTCTTTTGCCTTTTCCCTTTTTCCTGCCTTGAATACAGACACAATGGCTGGAGATGGAGCAGTCATCTTGTGGCATGAAGGACAAACCAAAGAAGTCACAGAAGAATAAACCCCCAAATCTTTAAAACTCTGACCTACCTCACCTTCAGACTTCTGAGTATGTTAAAAAAAAAAAAAAAACACCCCACAAATTATGTTTAAACCACTACAGTGGTTTGCAGTGCAAACCAGTCCTAATGGTTACAAAATGCTGGGCAGAATCTGATGGTCCTTTGAATTTCTGCCTTACATGTTGCACAGTCTTCGTTCCATTATCACTAAGTATTTTTGGTTTGTCTGTCTGACTTTCCCAACACTGAGAGTTCTTTGGGGTTAGGGACTATCTTACCATTTTGGTGATTCCAGAGCTACTCAGTGTCTGGTACATAATAGTGGCTTAGTAATGTTTTGTGAAGGACCGAATGAATAATGTGGATATGGAGGATGGCGTGGGGAAAGAGACATTAGTGGCAGTGAGGTCAGTGAAGAGGTTACAGCAGTAAGAATCCAGACAAGAGGCAGTGAGACTATGAGCTAGGACAGGACCTTGCAGATGAGAGAAAGGATAGGTTCAGGGGTTATTTAGGAAGCACAGGGACAGGACCTGGTAAGGGCTTGGGGAAGCGGGGGAAGAGGAAGAGCTGTAAGATGGCTGAGAGCTCATTAACGCATGGTGTGTTTGGGTGTCCTCCTCCTTCTGTGGTCTTGGGTTGCTTAGACATACAGGACCTTAGTCACCTCCTCTAAAAACGGGATAATAGTAATGCACGCTTAGGTTTCTTGGAGGAGGCAAATGACTGACTTCGCACATGTAAACTGCTTATAACAGTACCTGACACATTGTGCTTGATACGTGTCATCAGTTGTCACCACCATCATTATCGATATGGGGGTAGGAGAGCAAAAAACCAGGCAGTTTGTTGAAAGAGAGGAGGGTGAAGATGAGCAGAAAGGGGAGTTCAGGAGGAATGAGAAGGAGGACCCAAGTAGCTAGCAGAGTGACTTTAGGACGCTCAACAGCTGCTTGGTCTCGTCCCCTGGAAAGAACAACTTTATTTAAAGTGAGACTGAAAGTAATTTAATGAGCTCAAGAGAAATGTGATTAGGTACAGCCTGCTTTTATTCAAGACTTGTGTCAACTGGTTATGCTGCTTTGATTATTGTTTTAAACATGTCCCAGGGGGCTTGGGGTAAGAAATGAAGAGTTGAGGATGCTCATTTTTAATGTGAAGCATTGTAAGCTATTCTGGGGCACAGTAGGAGTCTCGGGAGGGTTGTGCCTAACAGATTTCCAAAACAATTAATGAAGCCTAAGAGCAAGAATAACATAAGAGGCACCACGTGAGGGCCATTAGCTGTGAGGCAGAGGAGGACCCTGCGTGATCAGGCAGGGTGAGATGGCAGGGCAACAGCCCTACTCCGTCTAGCTCCTGCAACCAAAGGCCTTTGATTAGGTTACATGGGAACAATGGCAAATTTCCACTTACTGAATGCCTCAGAGGGTCCAGTATTTTACACATTACTTTAATCTTCTTGTTCTCTGCAAGAGTGAGTTGTTATTATCATGCGCATTTATTTTTTTTTTTAATATTTTTTATTTATTTCTAGGAGAGAGAGAGAAACAGCGTGAGCAGGTGAGGGTCAGAGAGAGAGGGAGTCACAGACTCTGAAATTGGCTCCAGGCTCTGAGCTGGCAGTCAGCACAGAGCCCGATGTGGGGCTCGAACCTACGAACCGTGAGATCATGACCTAAGCGAAAGTCGGACGCTTAACCGACTAAGCCACCCAGGCGCCCCTATCATGCGCATTTAAAAACTATTTTAATCTTATTGTTTTTTTAAGACTATAGTTTATTGTCAAGTTGGTTTCCATATAACACCAGTGCTCATCCCAACAAGTGCCCTCCTCCATGACCTTTACCTTCCTTCCCCTCTCCCCCACCCCTATCAACCCTCAGTTCTCAGTATTTAAGAATCTCTCATGGTTTGCCTCCCTCCTTCTCTGTAACTATTTTTTCCCTTTCCCTTCCCCATGGTCTTCTGTTAAGTTTCTCCTGATCCATATATGAGTGAAAACATGTGTCTTTCCTTCTCTGCCTGACTTATTTCACTTAGCATAACATCCTCGAGTTCCATCCACATTACTACAAATAGCCAGATTTCATTCTTTCTCATTTCCATGTAGTATTCCATTGTATAGATAAACCACATCTTCTTGATCCATTTGTCACTTGTTATCATGCACATTTTAAGAATGAGAAAACTGAGGACTGAAGAGATTAAGTAACATTTCCAAAATCCACCAACCAGGAAGAGGTAGAACCAGGACTCAAAACAGGTCTGGCCAGGATTTGCCTGTTTCCTTTTCACTTTGTTGTAGCTCGTGACAAAACTGCTCAGGAATTTTATTGGCAGAGTTCTTGCCAGGAGGTGCTTTTAAGCTCATACTTTATCTGGAAGTTTTCTTCCAGAAAGAGCAGAGTATAAACTCTCTGTCATGACTGAATCACGGGAAACACATGTAAATAGAATACTTCAGTTCAATCTAACAGACTTCAGGTGTGTGCAAATAGATGGTTTCTGATTCCCAAGTGGCTCTGGCTCCAGGAGAGTGGATCTGCAGCATGGGTCTTCAGCTGGTTACAGTTCTGTCAGCCCTTGGTATGGGTGTGCAGGATCTTCCTGAAGCTCTGAAGGAGTTGAGACCATGATGGAGTTTCCTGCTGGCCCCTTTAGGGACTGGAGTATGAGATCTCTAACCTCACTGCAGAGAAGCGTGCGTGGCTTGACTGTGTGACTGATGTCTCGCATCCCCGCGCATGAATTTCATAAAGTATCTTCCTACTGTGCTGTAAAAGAATTTTAGTCCTCTGTACCATGGAGGTGGCTAGGGTGGTGTTTTCTTTAGAAGGAGGTATCAGGATAAAAACATTTCTGAGTTTCCTGATTTCCCTTTTTTCTCCCCTCCCTAACTTATAAGACCGCAAAGGGACCTAGTAGAGTCTTGACCCCACCGTGAGCAGGGACAGAGGTAACACTTGTTAGGAGGGCTGCCTGGGTGACTCCTGTGGTGTCAAAGGTGTTTGCTCAAGAACATAGTGCTCTTCTTCCTGACATCTGCTCAGTCTATGTGCTGGACCTATTTTTGGTAGCCAACTACAGGAATTACTTTGCACCATCCCCAAGTAGATCTAACGAGCCTATAATTGTTTTAAGCCTCTATGGGCTTTGTGTGTGTGTGTGTGTGTGTGTGTGTGTGTGTGTGTGTGTGTGCATGTACTTTATAATAAGCTTGCTTAGATAATAAGTCTGATTTAGCATCTTAAAGAGCTCCTTACAGATTTTTCTGCCCCTCCTCATGACTGCTGGTTCCTCTTTATCCACCAGAGTGTAAAGTCTTTGAGGAAGAGAATCCATTCTGAACAAAGCTTGGTCTGAACATGGTTGTGCTCAGAAACCTGGGTGCCTGGGGGATGGCCAGAAAAACTCTCACAGGAGCCGAAGGAACAGCAAGAAAGGGTGTCCCGTGGGTTTGCATATAGCTCTAGGCTTGAGACCAAAGGTGAAGAATGGCAGAAGGAGACTCTTGTAATGCCAAGGTTCTTTAGAAGTGAGGTGTATGACAGGTCATAAACCAGACCCAAAAAGAAGAAATAACTGGAAGATAAGGATAAGTGAACAAAAGAAAAGTTTATTTATTTAAATACTTACTAGCAACATGTTTTTCAGTTTCAAGGAAGAAAGACCTCTTAGCAGGTCTAGAAACCATAAATGGATTTCTAAGCAAGTGGAAACCCCTCCTCAAAGATGCCCTTAACAATAGCAGCAACAACAGTCATAAAATTTTTACAGGCCTTAGCTCATAAGCAGGCACAATGCAAACTAGTATAAATATGACTCATTGAGTCCTTATTGCATCTCTATGATACATGCGGTCTCAACCCCATTTCACACATAATAGAAATGGAGGCGCAGGGTTATGAGCCACTGGCTGGAAATCACAAAGGGATGCATAGCAGCACCAGGCTTCAAACGCAGGTTTGACTTGACTCCTAGCTTGTTTTCTCTTCCTAGTTTTGATGAATAGGCTCCAAAGCAATGTCAGTGGGAGGCAATCTGGTGGTAGAATACACCCTGCCCATTTCACAGAGCTGTCATCAGGATACAGAGATTATGTGTGTGAGAGCAATTTGAGGAACGTGCAGTGCTATACAAATGAAGCATTATTATTGTTACCATTGGGTCATGTAATTTTCTGACTCTGTTGATGGATTCTTAGTGTACATCACATTTGCAGTCACTAGGGGGAGGCAACAGACCATGCATATAAGCAAACTTAGTCTTGGAATGGAAGGGTATTTTTCTTGTAAGTGATGCTCAGGGATATAAAATAGAAAAGCAAAGGTTTGTATTAGGGACTGGTAGCCATTCTCATAAAAGTTTGATCTCTGTGCTTTTATTGAAGTGTTTTCACAAAGGCATCTTAGACTCCCATGAATCCTTTTGAATAGTGGGTATTGCCCAAAAAATGAATGGATGATATTAAAGGCTAAGCATTGACTCTCTTAGTTCTCTGGCTTCTTACCTTCTGTCCCCTTTGTGATCATTTCTGTTTTTGTCAAGATTCAGCTTTCTCCTTCTGTCTCCACTTCACTGCAGTACGGCACGTTCTTGACCCCTCCCATCCCTTTAATGGTGCTCTCCTGAGCTGGCCTTTTTGGTTATTGTACATAGACCATTTGATGGCTATTTCTAGGTCATTGTCATCTGCATTTTTCTCTTTGATTTGTTCTTCTTCCATTCTTCTAGAATTCTTCAGCTCCTTTCTACTAGGTGGAAAGAATATTGGATTAGGAAGTCAAGCCCTGTGTCTGCCGCTTACTAGCTAGTTGATCTTAGGCCAAAGTAGAATCCCACTGAGCCTTTCAGGGGTAATTATAATTTGTATGTTTACCATCCAGGCAAAGCAGTATTTATTTTTTAACCTATATTAGGCTCTTGTCTCTACTGTTTTAAGCAGAATTATATAAATAGTCCATCTATTTTCCTACTTTGAAGTATTTCTGGGAGTCTGTCCCCAGGTACTCAACGAATAAGTATCTAC